TGCTGCGTGAGGGATGGCTCTGTCTTTCTGAAATCTCCCTCTGGCGGAACCATGTGAATCAGTAAGATTTCGTCTACTTATACGAATAACAATTAAATTGCCCTGAAGGCGCACAATAGATTTCAGGGAGTAGGATATGGTTCCCCACATCATGACACTCTCACCACCATATCGGTGAGCTTTGTCAAATGCTTCACGCATGTCGAAACAGATATGTATCTAGACCTTTCGGAACGATGCGAAGGAGCAATTGTATAAAAGGATGCGATAGACAGATAGTGCCATTCAATGGACCATCATTCTACAGTACAACCAGAAATTATTGAGAATTTAAAGATTGTAATTTGTTTATTTTTTTCACTCATTACTCACGTATTAAATGTGAATATTAGCAGAACATAACACCAGATTCAAAGACAGGTGAACAGTTAGTATTTTGTCAAGTCACCATGGGCAGCAATGCAGGCTTCAATGCGACGGGGCATACTTCTGATCAAAGAAGTTAGAAAGTCGCGCTCCATGCTGTCCCAATATCGGTCCACCTCTTCTTTCATTTCAGCAATATTTGTCAGATTTTTCTTATTGACACTTTCCTTCATAAGTCACCAAACATTTTCTTTTGGATTTAGGTCAGGGCTATAGCTTGGCCAATCTAATAATGTGATATTTTGGGTCCGAAACCAGGCCTGTGAATGCCTTGAACGATGTTTTGGGTCGTTGTCAGGCTGGAAAATCCCAAAATGTCCATAGAACACGTGAGCAGATGGAAGTAAATGTCTCTCGAGAATATCTCTGTACCGCTCACTGTTCATATTCCCTTCAAATACACAGAGGGGCGTTGCCCCTAACAGATGTGCCACCCAATACGTTAAATTTCGGACTGTACCGTTGGCGCTGATACAAAGGTTTTTCAGTTTGTTTGGTCCAGAATTTCAGTGTATTAGGAACAGCTACACAGAACTTTCATCTGAGAAAATATCATTGTCCCAGTTAAAGTTTCTATGCTGTAAGCACCAGTTCAACCTTCGCTCCTTTTGTTTAGGTTTCATGATCGGTGATGGAATTCCTCGACTTTTCTGCCAACCCATTGCATGCAGCTCAGTTCTAATTGTCTCCTTACAGACAGCCACAGTTCCTCTATCAATCAAATCCAGCCTTAAGTTTTCTAAACTCCTTCGTTTGTTTTTAGAAACAAGAATACCAAGCCGCCTCCTGTCACCGACATTCAATTTTCTGGGCCTACCTGCGCCTCTCCGGTGCTCAATGCCATATCCATTTGCAATATTTTTCAAAACACGATAAACAGTGGACAAAGGGATGCCTGTTCTACTTGAAATCACGTTAGCTGATCTGATGTCCTTGTTATAATACTCTAAAATCAACTTCCTCTTCTCTAAATCATCCATACTGAGGATCACTGAAAATGTCGTCTGTTAGCAAGTAAACAAAGGGGGATAACTCTTCACAAACTAATGAAAAAGGATTAACGGAGTTGTCTCTCTTGAATGAAACCAAGCACTTGATAGCTGGTCAAGGTTGTTTATACTAGAAATCCAATTAATCATATTCCTAACATCCTCAATAATTTCTGGTCATACTATATATGCAGTCTGTTTGGTTCCATTTGAGACCGATGAATTGCCCACTTACACAAAATCTAATAATTACTACAAAACCAAATTTTGCAGTCACATGAAATCGACAGACCAACTCTGATGATTTGTCTCATAATTTTGGACACCCGAATAAAAAAGTTGTTTAACATACGATCAATATTTTCTTGTCACTTTTCGCTATTTTTTACGAGTGGGGACCACTTGCTGATAGAACAGCCAGGTGTGCGAGTTGCATGTGTTAAATTGAAATTTCACTACACACGCTTGTTGATTACATGGCTGTTCCACCAACAAGTAGTCCCTCCTCTGTCGATTTAACGTGACTATGCAAAATTTGGTTTTGCTGCAATTATTAGATTTTGTGTCAGTGAGCAATTCATCGGCCTCAAATGAAACCAAACGGACTGTAGTTGCTCGATGGCGTCGTCCCATCGTATCATTTGTTCGTTTCATCGCTTAATATCAGCGTTCCATCTCTCATTGGCTTTGCTGCATTCTTTCAATGCTCACATATTTCGTTGGCTAGAAATATGGTCACATTGCACTCCCTCCATGAGATATTTCTGCTGCACGCGGAGTTGTTTCAGTGGATGAGTTTATGAATCACCATCAAACTTTGCTGATGTCAAGGACTGGTGTTGTGGAAAGGTGAGCGTGTCCTGACCACCCGGCGACCACTGTCACAAACACATGCAAACGCAGGTCAATTTTAACCCTAAAAAAAGTTGCTAATCACTCCTGTTTATTGTTTACATAAACGGCATTGTCGAAAGCATAGATATACGCTTATTTGCAGACTATAGGTCCATATATACTATTCACACTTTGCTAAGGATCAAATCATGGATTCAACAGAAAACTATGATGTGGGGTCAAATTGGATTTATTATTTATCCAGTTTTTAATGGATATAATTTCAAATTATGAATCTGCGTTTAAGTAAATTTGGGAATTTTTGTGATCCTTAGCAAAGTGTGAGTAGTATACATCATAGTTGACGATCTCTTCTCTGCAGCAAATTGTATCAATAACGATTTAGCAAACATTTCAAAGTGGGCCCGCAAATGGCAAGTCGGATTCAACCAAAAGTATAACATTTACTCGTGAAGTCGGATCCAGTGTTAGACCAAACATATACATGGGGGGCACTCTTATAAATGAAATACAATGCCATAAACATCTAGGAATTACACTTCAAAGTGACTGCTAATGGAAAATACAAGTTCAGACTAACCAGAAATACGCTTAAAACTACATGTATGTATGTGTCATTTATCTTACCTAATTTCGACTACTGTTGCCATATCTGTGACAATTGTACCAACAAACAATCATTACTACTAGATAATTTAAATTATTAATCAGTCGTCAATCGAACAACCTGGTCTTGAATTATGGTTCTAGATTCTGACAAATTGTCCACTGTCGCCTCAGACTCGGCTGTAGCGACTTAGACGCTGATGAGTTTAAGGGCCATGTATCAGAAACCGAAGACTGCACATGTGGGTATAAATCTGAGGATACAACTCATGTTTTCTTTACCTGCCACAATACGATAATATCAGAGAGACTATGTACATTTACATACATGGGTATGACCTAGTGTTGGAAATTGGTTGAAATCTCACAATTGATGAATGCTTCATTACCAACGAACAATCATCGAAAAAACTTGGTTAGCGTCATTTTTCAGATTTTCCTATCCAGGTTGTTATTGCAGAAAAGTATAACTTGTTACATTAAAGTGATGACTAATATATCATGAACATAAACTTCCTGGAGTCTTAGAGAAATATTCAGTCATGACTTTTCAGCTAGTAAAGTGTGTTTTCTAAGAATTCAACATGTTTTCAGGCCCTGACAACTTCTAAGATATGTTCCATTGTCAAGTATTTCAAAGACTAAAACAGTAGTTCCAAAATCGTTTCTGTTCGATCATGAGAAAATGTGATCGATTGCTTGGTCGTTTGGTCACTGCGACCAATCTTCGATTATTTCAATTAATCGGAACACCTCTAGTATGACCTGACATCAATACTTTATGGCCATAGTTCAGTCAGCAGTTCCACAAACATGGACATCTTTTTAATCAGTTAACGATTTTATCATCAAAAGCAAAACATTTGAGCAAGTTTAAACTTTCGTAGAAATAGTTATAATTTTCCATAGACACCACTGACTTCAAAATACATGTACTGACTTTATGTCATTTGTGCAATTGCACTTTATGTTTAGCACTATCTATCGGTACAAACCAGCAGTTTAAAGGCATTACCTGGAGAGGTATTTCCTTTTTTCCCTTTTTTTACCGATCCAGATTTCTGTGAAATAAAAATATGTTTAAACCACACAAACACAGTTCAATTTTTAACCTTAAAAAGGTGCTAACAGGATTAGTATCTCTTTGCATCTTTCTCTTCCTGATGAAAATCAGTTTTAATGAACACACGATGTATGCATCTTATGTTTGATTGGTGAAAATACGACAGTAAAAAGAACGGATATGATCATTCATAAATGTATTGGAATCTGTTGGACTGTTGGACCCTCGCTGGGATTCCGGGTGAGACTGTGTTCCTCAGCAAGGTATCCTTGGCTTTTTGCTACTGAATAATTTGGAAAATATCACCATGACACAAGTTTTGAAAGCCTTAGCAATTGTAATCTGTAAACTGATCAAATGTCTCTTGTCTATTTTCTTCTCTAGCAAACAAGTGGACCATCAACATTATTTCATGTGATTCAGTGACCTCGGGCTCCATCGGAATGATGGTGTACAAGAAACAAGTTGAGCAAAGCATCAGACGCATTCTGTTTGTCAATTATTGACAGACTGACCAAGTAAAATATATCGGTAATATTTTGATACGTCGCTAGAAACTATTATTATTATCATTATATACCGTATATGTATATCATATAAACGTGTAGTTTCAAATCGTACCATTACTGATTTAATTGATAAAAGACATAAGATACTGGCAGTGACATCAAAGTATTGAAAGTTATTTTCGATTTCATATTGTGTATCGAAATAAAATCAAATCTCACTCTTAATGTACTTGTCCAAATAACGTATAACTTCATATGAGTACTTGTGGCTCGAACAACTTCTTTCAACGTGATTTTTTAAAAAGTGACAAGAAAACAGCATGGGAGTTACCTGCCCTTGTTCAAGTACACTACATTACTTGAAGTTTTTAGTATTTCATTGGAGTTGTGCTTGGTTTTCCAAAGTTATTTTTCCTGACAATCATCTGATAATGTACACTGTATCAGCAGGTTTGACAACAAAACAATGTTAAACAGCAGAGTTATTCGGGAAATATATGGAGCTAGCGTTTACGACCGTCAACTTTTCAACAGATGGCGCTGCAGGTAAGATTACAGCAGACGACAGGGGGGCCGACTGACTGACACTGTTTACAAACAATATAATATTGTGGCCCTAACCTGTCGTGTGATCGTCGTTGTACGTCGTTGTACGTGGCTGTCAGTTCTTTTTAAACAACTAACGCAGCAGGTACGTAACTTTATATCCCTTTCATGTAGCTCATTTGTTTCGACCGGCGTAGAAGACATCTCTAAAAACTCGAAGACTGAAAGTCCTGATAATTTCTGGTCTGTGGAGTCTACCGTTTGTTAGCCTAAATCTGTTACAGAGCTTGGGCACTGTTGCATTCTGGAGTATCCAACCTACGTGGCCCTCAATTTGTCTGTTGATAAAAGCATAAATTAGCCAAAAAGCGATGATACAAATTAGAAGCACGATTGATGTATATTTCGTTTTTGTTGATTGGGCCACAATCAGTGTGAGTCAACAATATTGCAGCTTTCCAACTAGTGGTTGATAATCTGAGTAAATTCCTTTGCCATGAGGTACAATGATATACATTTTGTAAATGGAGACAGATACCCTGGTCCCAACTGTGTGATGCGGGCATGATGTTGAGATAAAACAAGAAGAATGAAAGTGTGGATAACTAGAAATGTCATTTGCGTAGATGAGAAGCAGCTAGATCCTAATTATTTAATTATTTGACTTATTTTCAGAATAATTTTGTTTCTGACAGAAGAACTGATCACATCAGCCTACATAGGAGAATTACAATTCCACTGGAGTTGAAAACGTGAATTCTGGAAGCGTTGAAGTGAAAGTGGACAATGAAACAAGCAAGACCACCAGTATTCAAACCATTAACACATACAGAAAATACATCTTTGTTCAATTTTGAGGTATTTTAAGATTATCATTGTTTTGACTGGTTACAAAAATACTTCTGCAGGGATTTATATCTTCTCAGAATTTAATCTGTCAGATTGTAACTTACAATGTAAGTGAAAATCATGAAAAAAGAGACCAATAAACTGTTGAGTTGCAACAAACAAGAAATGCTGGGAATTTATTCTGTGTATAATTTTAAAACACCCATCAGTTTTTGATATGACATATTTCGAAAAGAAAGTGTATTTATAATTTTTAAAAGTTTAGATTTAAGAGACCCTACGTTTCAAATAAATGTGCTGACAGTCCACCACAAATTCATCACAATTCACATTTTGCTTAAACCATTAAAGAACTTCAAACTGAAAATTTAAATACCATCAGAATACATGGAATACAATGTATGAATTATGTAGCTGTATTTCTGCGGAAATTTGAAAGGAAGTACATCTATTATATGTTTATGTGCTTTGCTATACTTTTGAACAGCCTCCAGCTTCAACAGTAAGGACTTCAGCTCCTACTCCTTTCCACCGTTCAAATGGTAAGTAGTAAACCTGTGCATGCCTGCAAATAACATTATGTTATTTTAACTACCAAATAACAATTTAAATGTTGCCTTTTTTCATATGTTATACTCTGTCATGGCTCATCAAAGTTTTCTTGCCTGTTTTTTAGAGAACCAAAACATCAATAATCAGAGTAAGCTGGGGCAAAATCAGGATGTTGGCACAGAGCGCCTTTCATCACTCCATGCAAAACTTCATCAAGAGGCAGACAAAATTCGAAAGTGGAAAGTTCAAACTGAAATTGAACTGAAACAAAAGGTAATCAAAACTGTTAAGGTTTATTTTATTGTAGTATTTTACTTCAATAAATGTGTTAAAATAACAAGTATAAATTCACTATTGTAGATCTGTTTTTGTCTGTACTATGTAAATAGGATGGTAATTAGGACTTCAGATTCATATGTTTGCTGAAAGAATATTTGACATTTTCAGGAGAAGAAGATACATGAGGCATCTACAACAAATGAATCACTTCGAAAGTCAATTTTAGAGCTTCAGGTGAGCATGACTTTTTTCAGATCTATTGTTTGTTGTGGAGAAAAGAGATTGAATGCCAACTCTTTGTGGCACATAGTTTGTACCCCATAACAATAAGCCAGTTTACCTGATAATTGTTTTATGGCTTCATAGCTGTCAAAGAAAGCCTTGTCACCCCAGCAAGCATCTGAACAACATTAGACATAACATCCCTTTAAATATTTCTAGCTCAAAGCTAAGATACAAGTGCAACACAAACTGGGGTAAATCATGCATTGGGGAAATTGGTGCTTTCACAAAACTGTATGATACAAAGTTATGATTCTTGGTATTTTGACAGAAGTTACAACTGTGCAAGTAGTACTTTCCTCCCCCTTGTTACAAAAATACCCCAAAACAAAATGTGTTCCAAAATGAACATTGTAATGGGTGATATTTTTTAACCTCTAAACTAATAGATTTTGTTAGGATCAAATGGAAAGAGATGCTTATAATTAAATATTCTACAGTTAATACAGGTAATGCATATTTGTGCCTAAATATATTGAATCTTTTGAAATTAGTCCTAATGAATTATTTTCAGAGCATATTGACTATCATAAGCACTGTATACTGAGCCTGATAACATTAACGCATTTGACTTTTTATGATTGATTGCAGGAATTGGAGCACTTTACTTTTACCGGTACCATTGTTTTAGCTACTTCCAGTTGTTGTATATAGGAGTCTAACCCTAACCCTGCTAACCCTAACCTTAAGCTTCCTTCCGATCATGCACAGAAAATACGTTCAGTGGTACTGGTATTAGTAAATCTACCCCAGGGATTTTTGTAGAGCAGCCTAGAGGCTGATATCAGCCCAATATCTACAGTAGATTTCAAATTCTTTAGAGCTAATGACAATGTTAAAAGATACACCTTTGCAGACAGAGTGACCCGACCAGCCCTTGTTTTTTCCCTTTATGCTAAGAGCTAGGCTTAGGAAACAAGCACATGTACCAACTTTTTAAGGTATGAAGCAGATACGGAATTGAAGCACAGACCTCTCTGGGCTGGTGCTGTATCCACTGCATCATGCAAGCAGTGATGGGTACAGTAATATGCAGCCTTGGATATGCATAGTGATGGTGTTGTTTGAATGACGTGTTTTCTATTTGGGAGATGGGAGATGCAATGCTCTAAGTCACATAGGAATTTTAAACACTTTGAACTAAATGATTACAACTAACGAGTGAATTGCTTGTTTCTCTTGTTCTCAGCTCCAGAATGAAAATCTAAGCTTGAAACTCCAGGAAGAAATGGGCAATAGAGAGGATATTGTTCAGAGGTAATTTATACAATAATCATGATTGTATGTTCTCTGCACATCCAGAGTCAATGTATCCATGGACCACTGATACCACCTGAGACAAATAAAAGACATCGCAAATTACTGGTAGTTGGCACCATGTGTTAGAATTGGTCAATCTGGTTGGAGAGAATTTTAGAAGATCTTGGGTATTTAACCATGGTGTCTTGATAGATTGGGTGTCACAGCTTCTATCTTAGTGCAGGTGTGGAACTAACATAATAGTGTAAACTTTCATTTACAAAAAGGATGTACAAAAAGTCAGAGTCAGTCAACCTAACACAGGTATAATGGTATTAGTTAATATAGTTGCTTAACCTCTCCAAATTTTAGAATCAGCTCTACAAGACAGCTCTGTAATATTCTCAAGGACCATGCCGTCAAACTGGAGGAAAAACTGCAACATTGTAAGTAAAGTCAATACTTGCACAAAATAATGAACTGGTATAACTGGCAGAAAATATGCTTGACATCTTGTAATAACTATTTTATTTATAAGAGAGATCACAATCACATAACGATAGCTATTATTTTCAGTTTTCTTCGGATTATCATTTTATGATTTATTTCCAGGTGAAACGGAAAGAACAGAACTGAAGTATTTGGAGAAGGATCACCTTCAGCAGTTTGAGGTAAATGATATATCATCCATTATTCATATCTTGCAGCTTTACCAATCCTGACAAATTCTGTGGCTATAACATATGGTGTGGCTACTGTAATACAATCACATTTTTTTTACAATGTTATTCAGCATTTAGTGTCCATGTGTAATATTCTGCAGGGATAAATAAGATGGAAAATCCAAGCTTATCAATGACAAAGCATGAGGTTTTCTTTAAGATAAACTTTGCACTGCATTGATTATGTCATGATATGTCAGTACCTAAAGAATTATTGTAGTGTGGAAGTTGCTATTTTTGGATTTCTCGAATTACATGTGACATCTGTATCAAGGTGAACTGCCAAATCAATGGGTTTTCTTTCAGCTCAAACCTGGTGTTTTGTCTGTTGTCTGTAATTATCATCCCAGCTGTTATTTCAAAACAGTAGTCTGAGGCATATCCTAAAGTAGCATAATTAAATATTCACAGGTTTTTATAACAAATTTTCTTATATTTCCATATTCTTGTTTGCAGTTTTATTATGACCTTAATCATCTGTTGCAAATAGTCGAGAAAAAATCATTATGTTGATGAAATGACAGTTTTCACTTTGATCAGAAATCTGCAACCTTTTTAAAGAAAGTGACATGATTAATATACCTTATACATAATATTATATCTGATTCAAGGAGCTGTCTGCAGAATTCAAGAAACTGAAAATCACAACCACTGAAAGTTGCAACAGGCTTGTCAATCAGTGTAAGCAAATACTTAGTTTTGGTCAACATATTTCTTGTATTATCTTTGAGTGAAGGTGTATGAATTGTTACTAGCAATCATCATTTTTATCTGTTTAGTACATTTACCATATTCACAGTATTTGCCTATCTGTGAGCACCTCCAACTAAAGTAAAGAAACATTACAGGACTTTGACATGAAAGTCCATATTTGCTTGTGTATGTTACTGAGAAAGTGTAATACCAAATATAACATACCGGTATATTACATTTGACCACTTCTAAAAGGCATGGTGTACTGATAGGTTTAGGCATTGGGAGTCATGTCAGTTTACACTTGTCAGAGGTGTACACAAAGTGTGTAATCTGGACTACCAGTTGTCCGACTTCCATTTATGTGGAAGCTGCGATGGTTGAGTGTGTTAGATTGCTGACTTTGTGTGCTGGCGAGTATGTGGCTGACTTTGAGAGTGTGGGTTCGAATTCCAGATGGGACTCATCCTAACAAAAGTACTAGAATCTGTACTTTACTGAGAAAGTGTAATCCCAATTATAACCTATGTAACGTTTGTTTACAGCTGCTCAATCTCGGGGAAATATATTTGACTGGTTGTGTATGGTTTCAATCAGCATACCCTTTATCAATTTTCCTGGTATGGCAATAATTGTAGAAAAAACTGTTATGTCACTACACCTGCAAACATATACCCACCTATGAGTTACAGAGGTATTTTACACATTCTATTCAAGGAACACATTACTTTATTGTACTAAGAATAAGCATTGATGGGTACTTGTCATAATATTAATCATGCTTGTTGTCATTTATATATTCTTTATTTATCCTCCAAGTTGGGAGAGTACAAATACAAGTTGCGAAAGGTAATATTTACACCACTGTCACATTGTTACGTGACATTGTCTCTCAGAAAGCTGGCTGCACTGCTTAGTGCTGTGTGACTTCGCTGCACATCAGATGAATGTACCTTACAGCCACACTGGTGAATGTTCTCTGGTCTTCCGCATTCAGTCCATACTGAGGCCTGTATGACAGAAGACACAACACCATCTCAATGTCTGACAAGTTGTGGAACCATACACTGAAGTCCACAAGGCCAATATTGATCAGTTCACACCACAGCTGATCTCTCACAGAGAGTAAGTTATCACACTGCATGACAGCATGAACACAAGAATCACTATATATCCTTCCACACTTCTCGCACAGGTACACAGTATCTTTAATGTCTCTGATGCTGGAATATACCAGCACCAGGAACTTGGACGAGGTTCGGTATCGGTGGTCTCCCCTGAGACAAAGTCCATGCTGGATGAACAAACAGATCTCTGTGTATCTGTGCGAACAACTGGATCAACTGTTATCCTATCAGTCCAAGAAGAGAAATGGAACTTCCAAACAGCGGCTTTCACGCTTTGTTTCCACGAAGCCTTATGTGGAAATATGCCAGTTGACAAGTAGTCGTCTAGCACATTTGTCAACTGATACTTCTGAAGGAGACTCATCAGATCAGGAATGAAACTTCACGGTTGTGCACACACACCATGAACAAAGCACAGTAGCCTTGTCAAAAACACCTGGTGAGGAAGGTAGAATGTGCTCATGTTTATGAGGTTTCCGGCAAACAAGAGTTTCTTTCTATCTATCTCTGCTTCCAGAGGTAGTAGACCCAGGAGACCAAGACACACATCAGTCCTAGTTCTCTTTGGGAGGCCTTGGATTGTCTTTATGACATGCCTCTGGAGCTTTCAAGCATAACAATCTCAGTTTGGCTGAGAGAGTCCCACAGCTCACTACCGAAAAGACACTTTGGCAGAGTTTCTTTCTGGATCAGTTTCAGACACACAATGGGTGACACAAGAGATGGATTCAGTCCCTTCCTTGACATTGTGTAAGCATAGGATCTAAGCTTAGTACATAGTGCGTCTAGTGTTCTTTCCATTGAATTAAAGGAACACATTACCATTGTACTAAGAATAAGCATTGATGGGTAGTTGTCATCATATTAATCATGCTCGTTATTAAATGTATTTCACATTCAAATTCCAGGTACAATTGGATTAACTGCACTGATTTCAAAATCTATATTGAATGATATGACCCTTACTTGTAATTTGTAAAGCAAAGTTTTGCCTTCCTTGCATTACCAAACTTAATCTTAAGTTGTATTTAGAACAACTAGAAAATAATAATTGGCTACTGCATATGTTGCTAAACATTTCCTATACAGCACTGATTCCTAATTGTTATGACAATATTGAATTTTTCAGTGCAGCTTGAAAGGGATGACCGTAGCAGGCTTGAAGAAGCATTAGAAAGCAAACTGACTGATGCTGAAATTCAGGCATGGATATATGTCATGTTTTTGTTTTATTTACTACTGGTAACACCTGCTGTACCCCCAACAAACTCTGGGGTGTAGAAATGTGAATGCTGATGCCATAAGTTAGTTGAAGTATATTGAAGGCATGGTGATCGGAATTTATTGTTTTAGAGGTGGACTTAATGATGATATGCTGTCTAAGTAAACTTAGGTTCAGTATCATTCGTTACACTGCTTATACTGAGTCTAACCTTTTCAGCTGACCAATCAGAACACAGCTTACCAAATCGCGAAAGTTGACATTCGCACACACCTTTTGAACTTTTACCGCGAAAAAGTTTGTACCCAAACGATTCCGAATGCTTTTTTCTGCATGATCGCTTCTTAGTGATACATATGCAGCACGCCACACCAGTGAGTAAACAGTCGCTGAAAATAGCGTTTTTGTCAATATTCAAGGATGTCAGCTTGTGGACATATTAGCTAATGGTAACCATGTCATCAGAAAGCCCTAAGCGTATATACTGCAGGTCAAATATCCGTGTTTTATGCGGATTTTCGTTTGTTGAGAGATCAGTGCCAGTGACCGGAGAATTTTGTAAGTCCCGCCAAACCCTAAACAGTAGCCATTGTCTGATTGGTTAAATCCGTTCCGCCGTCTCGCATTTGATTGGACGTCATAGGTCGCTCAAAGGTTATCAATACAGGAGCGCCGCAGGTTGTGTTATGTCACCAGTTCTGTTCACTCTATACACCAGTGACTGCACTAGCAAAGGAAATAACTGTATAAATGTGAAGTTTGCTGATGATGCAGCCACTGTTGGTCAGATGTATGATTACAAGTCAGAACGATGATACAGAGATAATGTAAAGAATTTCACATCAGGGTGTACAGAGAATCATTTGATTTTAAATGTGAAAAAGACAACAGAACTCTGTATTGATTTCAGAACTAACTCCCCAACAGTACCACCTTTGTTCATTAATAATGAACCAATTGAGACAGTCACTGAGTACAAGTACCTTGGAACTTTTATTGATAGCAGGTTAACGTGGAACACCAACATAGATGCCCTGTATAGTAAATGTCAACAACGCCTCCATCTAATGTGCAAACTGCGATCTTTTAACATTTCCAAATCTGTTATGATGTTGTTTTATACCACTTTTATACAGAGTATACTCACTTTTTCTTCTCAGTGCGAGTCTCTTTCAGTCAAAAACAAATCAAAACTTAACAACATTGTAAATACAGCTATTAAAATAGCTCGGGTCACTTTTGATAATCTTTCACTTCTCTATGAGCGGCAAGTACTTTCAACTTCTGAAACAACCATTAATGACACAACAAATTTGTTAAAACTAGAGTATATTAGCTTTTACCTTCGGGCCGCTGCTATACAGTGCCAATCACCAAGACTAAACGAGCTCGAACGTCTTTTGTACCTCAAAGTATTGCAATTTTAAACAAATGTTGAATGTCCAGTTATCATCTTATTCATTTAAGTCTATTTAAGCACATATTTATCTCTTTTTATGTTTTTAGTAATGTCATATTTTATGTTGTTATTCATTTGTATTTTTGTCAAGCTCTGTGAACCAAAGCAAATTCCTTTTTAGGTTATAAAATATTGTCTGACACAACCTTCTACTAGGGTTTGTTAGACTCAGTAATAGCAGTGTAACGAATAATCCTGAGCCCAAGTTTACTTAGACTGTGATGATATGTAGGATAAGACACTGAAACATATCTAAAATAATAATCAGTATAATATGATTATATGAATATGTTATAATGTTTTAATCAGTTTTAGTTTGTAGAAGAAATTAGTCACATAATACACTATTGATAGTTAATATATCTTTTTGTGTCTGTGTTTCAGCTGAAAGTTTTAATGGATCAGTGTGATGAAAAAGACATAGAAATCAGAGACGTCAGAACAATGCTGCAGAGAAATGATGAAAAGATACATACTTTAGAACAAAGCAATGGTAACAAAGTGTTACATTTAATGCTTTAGTTTATCTATCCCCTTCTTCACCCACTCAGATATATGGTTATAACAAAGTGTTTCCTTTGATTGTCACATCCTGCTTGGATGATAACAACTATGAGTATTATTACACAGATAGATTTGGGGCTTTGTAATATTTGTAAGGAATTGATAACAAGAAGATGTTAATTATTACATATGTCCTAACTCATTTAGCAAATTTTCAATAAAACGGTTATACAAAGTCATGTAAGTATCTGTTACTCCAGTAACTATTGAAAGGTTTGCCTAAATTTGAATTGAGCTCCATTAACTATTGAATCGCTTGTCCGAATTTGAATTGAGCTCCAGTAACTATTGAAAAGCTTGCCAGAAATTGAATTGAGCCCCAAAACTATTAAAAAGCTTGCCTTGAATTGAACTATGTGGATTTATTTGATGTTGTCCATCCGTACTGAACTACCAAAGAGACATGAAAAAGAATTTCATGTTGTATTAATAACCTACAAATGCTTTGAAATATTTTGACAGCCAACATTCACATTTCATAGAACTTTCTGAAAACAATTCTTTGGGACATTGAGTAAAAAATTTGCAGGTACGACAATTTGGTTATGTAAGCAAGAACTTGATACACAGCTGGAACCCTAGCTGTTAAAGAAGTGTCAGTGATGGGCCAGCCATTGATTCCTACATTGTTCCATGCTGGTTCTGTGGCCTTCGAGAACCAATGGCTGTTTCTTTCTCAAAAGAATGCAAACATGTCAGTATATCTCTCGTTGAACAACAGAATACAGGAATCTAAGTTTTCTTTACTTGCAAGTCATGCATCTGTGGCTTTAGAAGGACTTGTCCAAATGCACTCCACCTGACTTCACACTGCAATGTTTGAAGCCATCCGGTGAGGTATTCATGCTTATCTGTGGCATGGTATCTCATTAAACTAGCACTATAAAACCAGCTTAAGTCTGGGCTAGTACAAGCAGCCACACATACACATGTATGCACGTCGTCATATTACCGAAATATTCTTATGTACGATGTTAAACCCAATTTCACCTCACCTCTCTTTACAGCCTCGTTCCATCAGAAGTCTGAACAACAGCTTGCAGAAATTAAATCCAAAGAGAGTGACTTGGTTACAACGTCAGAGCAGCTTCACTGTTTACAGGTTGTCAGTTGTAAATGGTGAACTGAACTTCAGCGAAGAATTTAAATACAAAATATTTGACATTAGGCTTATGAAGTAATGTTTATCACCCACATCACACTCAAACACTTATTGAGACAGAGGAGGATGCCATGAGTGTTATAAGAACGAACATTGTGTGACAATGCTCATTGTACATACTTATGAGTGTTACTTCCTTTTGCTTAAAAAAGCATCCACCCACTTATGCTTGTTAGTGTATGCAAGATTTATTCAAATAGTATTACTGTGACATTACACATCACTTTTGTCATACTTCAATGGGTGCAGACTCCTGTCACCTTGAATTGACTAACAGTGAATATTTATTATCATTATAGGAAGAAAAAGTCCAGAATGAAGAAAAATTGAAAGAGCTATTTGCTGAACTGGAAAACTTGAAAGAGGCCAAGAGCCTTCTGGAACAGACTGTGGTTTCTTCCAGAACTGAATATGAGACTAAACTATCATCCCTGCAGCAACAAATTGATGGTTTAAACTGCAGCCTACTTTCACAAGTTGAAATGTATGATACCACTTTGATTGTTTGCCATCATATCCAGTTACCAGAATTTATAAGATTGTGATTATGTTTGCTTATGATGCATCATTCCAATCAGGTAGTTTCGCTTCATTGTTAACATCAGTAACAGACTTAGATCTTGTGAAACTGATTGGTGTTAGTGAATGGAGAGTGTATCAATATTACCTGATGGATTATGTTTGAAAGCTTTCAGTGATTTCATGGAGTTTAATTATTTCACAACTGTCTGTGTATTTTAAAAAAAACAGTGATCACAGTTTTTTTTGTTTTTTCAGCTGTAAGAAATATGAACAACAGTTATCAGAAATGTCATCGCTGTCTGAAAACCTAAAGAGTTCCAAAGGTAAACTTCACTTTCAGGCACTGTGACTGCTTCGGAATATTCCTGCTACCACTCACAAGAATGCTGAAATCATGTGATAGAGCGTCTGCCCGGTGCGTAAGGTCGCGGGTTCGATCCCCGACCGCGTCATACCAAAAGACGTTAAAATATGGTACTTGTTGCTCCCTGCCTGGCGCTCGGCATTAATGGGTACAACAAGGACTGGTCGGCTCAGAGTCAGTATAATGTGTCTGAGTGGGGTATTCATGCTTCACTGCAGCATGGTATCTCAGTGGGCTAGCACTATAAAACCAGCTTCAGTCTGGGCTAGTACAAGCAGCCGCACATACACACGCATGCACGTCGTATATGAGCGAAATATTCTCCAACACGACGTTAAACCCAATTTCACCTCACCTCCAAAATGTGATCTGTTATGGGCACTGGAATTTAAACTGGCCACGTCCATGTTAAGCTGTGAGATATAGGGTACCAATAAATAGTTTCATGGGGTGCAAAAACACGTTTTCAATAATTTGAATCGGTCAAATGTATTGCATCTTCCATTAAATGAATCATGAGTATTTTTGTATAATTTTAGGTGAAAATATGTGAAAATATTTCATTCGTGCCATTTCAATATTTACAGTGCCATGGCACACAAATTAATCACTATTAGATCACTGAATGATTTCAGTCAAATCCATCAGCCTCTGTTCAAATATCCCCAAATATCAATAAGGTATGACAAAATGTTCAGATGAAACAAATTAAGAATGAAAACTCAGTGTATTAAATCAGTGTTGGTTTGTATGACTTGAGGACAAATAAGCTTATTGAGTACATCATCACGTAAAAACCTTTCACATCATACCTGGCTTCTGTACCATTGATATTGTGGCTATTGTTGCCTAAATGTAGCAGAATGAAATATATATTACAACTGGACATGGGAATCCATTTAGTGGTTAAAGGTGCCTATGCATATTTTTCATTTTTCTGCACATTATTCTAAACACAGATGTTCTTACACTTGAGAAGACTGAACTGGAAGGAACTGTGAATGCTTTGAACAGGGACATTGTAAGTAGATTTTTTCATTTCTTATTCATCACATAGGGCAGAGTAGGTCTGAACTCATTGTGTAATAGTTGAGAAGTATTTTTAAATATTGTCAGAAACTACCTGCTTAGAAATAATTGTAGTAACAATGGTATTCAGATTTATTTTTGTTCTGAAACAAGCTGAAAAGATAAAAATTCCAACTTTTAAAAATAGTTTGAAATCTTTTTCTTTTTTCTTGTACTCTGAATGACCTCAGTTATGATATTTTCACATTGATTTCAGTGTTGTAAGACAAATCAGTTGTTATGATGCTTGTCACTTTCACAAAAGATTTGATTTGAGTGAAAAAGAAATATTTCTGTTTAGCATATGAACTAACCTTGTTAATGTGTTGTGCCTGTTTTGGTTTTGAAATCTCTATTCAAACTAGTATTTTATGTGTGTCAATGTAGATATAAAGTAATAATTAATACTATGTTTAGTGAAAATATTTTTACTCTAACAGAGTGAGTATCAGAGGACTATTGATGAAAAGATGAATGACAATGCATGCTTAAAAGAAGATCAAAGACGACTTATAGGTGAACTGCATGAAACAAAGCAACACACTTTGGAGTTACAGGTATATGTATTATTATGACTTTTATTATGGTATTGATATATTTGTATTATTTGATGCAATAATTCATGTTACAAAAGTATTTAAAAAAATTCAATATGGTCTGCCGAAATAGGAGATATTCCATTGAAAAGTAATAAATCAGTAACTGAAAAAACATGCCCCTGAGTTTCTGTCAAAGGTTCTGTTAAGTTGACTTTAATATCTAGATTTTTGTATTGGCCAAATGAAATCACTTTTCATTTATTGTAAAGCAGTTTCCATTTGTACTTATATGAATCGTGTAAAAAGTAATTAATGCATATACATCTACAGCTATATGTAAATGGAGTGGCCATTCCTGTAGCGCAGGTCCATAAATTAGTTTAGAATATTTTTTACATGATTGTATTGTCAGCAGCTTTGTCTCCTTTGTTATATTTCCAGTCTAGGTTGATACGTTTAAAATGTACTTTCGGATAAGGATGAACTTTATAGATGAACAACTTCTTTATTCAGGTGGTGTGATGTTTCAAAACAGATTCTGTACTTTTGGGTGGCTGTTTTATGTCATTGTCTGGCAGGTATGATATGATACAAGAATCTGTATCTTCCTCGTAACATTGCACCACTTGAATAAAGAAGTTCATCATTGTTTCAAAAGTGATAAAGTTTGTCCTTATCTGACTCTCAACTCAGTCTAAAATGCCACTCAAAGAAGTTAATGTACTTTTTGGGTGGCTGTTTTGTTAGTCATGATATGGCATTGTTCTGATTGGCTAAGATTTGATTTTATAAATGCCATGATACAAATAGAATAATAAAAAAAAGATGTAAAGCAACAAACATTCACACAGTATATGGAATTAGTAGGATGAGAGACATAGACAAGAGTAGCATAGAATGGACATGTCCACTGAGGTCCTGCTGTCTTAAAACATTACTTCACATTCACAAGAAACAACAAACATTGACGTTTTCTCTGTTGGTGTTCCATGGGCTGAGAGTGAATTAATACCAATTTCTATGAACATAGGTCCCGGATATACATGTAAAGTGCAAATATGTGTATATACTAGAATATCCTTTAAGCATCCTGTTCAATTGTGAGATATTGTCCCTGTGTACTAGTAATGATGGTAATCATTAGCTTTAAAAATCATCAGTATCATAAAAGTTAGGGGGTGGGGGGGGGAGGGGGGAGGAGGAGAGTGGTGGCTGGAGCATCTGATTCAGCAGAGTCTAATGCCACTTTTAAGTTCATTTTGACATCATTGGCCAAGACATAACTCCACAGGAATATGTGGCACATGAATATACTATTAATCTTATTCCAGAAAACTGTTGAGCTTGAACAAACAGAAAAAGTACAAAAGGAGGAAGAGAACAAACGCTTGCTTGACAGAATTGCCACCTGCGACATCACAGTTCAAGAGAAACATGTTAGTTCAGTGAAACCTTTTCAGCTTAAATTATTTGATAGATGTCTCTGAGTCACTTTATGACAGAAAATACACGTATTGGAATCTTAACTTATAATTTACATACTAAATGTATGCTCAAATGTAACTTGGATTTTAGCTCAATGAATATCAAGTGAAGATATGTTATAGCATGCTTGGCCTGCGTCTGTCAGAGTCTGTGTTGTCTATGAACATCCTTTGCTCAGAATCATCTAAACTAATGAAGCTATTCCTACAAATAATTATATCTGAATTTGCTCAAGACATTGGATTCTGATTTTCAGTATAGCTAACATATTGAAAAATGTACTTTTTTGGTCATTTCTCAATCATTTTCACTCCAGGTTTTGTTTAATTTGTTGTGTGATTCATCATGTATGTTTTTTGCAAAGTTTAAATTTTGGCTGTTTTGAATATTGTTTTTCAGTCTCTCAAAATTTATATTTTGGCTTGTATACTTCTTTTCCTGCCAAATTGCAAAACACAGGGAGCTGAACTTTCGCATGTATGTTTCTCCTTGTGATTCCATCATATCAGATACATGTATTAGATGTATTAATGTAAATGAGTAAAACTTTGTGCAGAAAATATTTCAATATCCATACTGACACCAGCTTTTGTTAAGTTAACATCTCTGTTAACATTTTCAATTACATATCCATGTGAGCTACAGTGACATGGAAGTATATTTTAGACAAAAAATTTAGCATCAATTATTAATAAATATTTTATTGATCTCGATTCTTCATGATTTTCATCTCATTTTGATAAAACTTTCTCATGATAATCATGATTTATTTGAAAGATATGCTGTGATATATTTAAATAATGTTCAGAATTATTGATTTCATTTTTCACAATTAACCAACAGGAAGAAATTCTAAAGATAAAGCAACAGTGTCAGATTTTGGAAAATCAGCAACATGCTTTCAGCTCAGAATTTCTTGATCTACAACAGTCTCTGATGGCAGAAAAGTAAGTTTGACTTTGCCAGAAGGTTTCTCCACACGTAGTTTCCTTCAATATTATTTTCAAAATTTTAACAAATCAAACTGAAAAAAATCCTTGAGATACATTTTTGACTATAGCTCCAGGTGTTGGAATCTGAAACAGTGATATTCACATTTTTGTATGCCAGTAAAATAATTTAAAAAAAATATGTTTTTAATTAAAATATTGAAACCACATGGCAATGAAGCTGAAAATTTATCAAGATGTGTTTGGTCATTATCTGACATTGGATTTGTACATGACATGGAATAGAAGCATTTACAAATGGTTTTAGCATGATCTTGTTAAAAGAAAAAGCACAAAGATTAAATTTTAGCGACATTATAGCTGGAAATGATGACATTAATAACCTTTGTAAAACGTTGAAAATGTATGAAAATCTGAAACATATATGGTATATGTTTGTTTTGAAGTTTTCTAGAGAAGCAAGTTAATGCTGCTCACATCACAAATTGTCCACTCACATTAATTTGATCAAAAAGATCCCATTACATACCCTTTTTATGTGCAAGAAATTTCAAATTCTTTTAAAACCCACGAAGTTTTTAATGTGATGTGATCACATGGGATCTCACTCTTATATAATAGTGATACCTTTAAGTTTACACAGAATATACCTTAAATGTCTCAGCAAGAGTGGCATCTTTGCCTCTATTAACATTTTGCTTTTATTGACTATCTTCGTTACAAAATGTAGACAATGTTATGGTATACATGTAATTCCATATTGATTATGGACCTTGTTATCTTTCTTCAGGGAGAAGGTGACAAATACTTCCATTTTGCTTGACAACACTCGAAGAGAACTCAGTTCCAAAGAACAGGATATTAAATCCTTAGATAGCGAAGCTAAGAAGTTAAATAAAGACTATGAGGTTTGTTTACATTATTGCATTATGAGTGTACTGATAGATACATTATTCTCTTTGAAGTATTTGGAGAAGTAATATTTTTTCACTGTAAAAATTGACTTGCTGCGCTATTAAATTAGAAACCCAACTTATTCACTCATTATGCATTGAATGTAGTGTGAAATTCTTTTTTAATTTTTATGGGTTGGGTCATAATACTTTTTGATAGTTTGCATAGCCCATGAAATGAGTTCTATGTTTGCTTGTTTATTGTTTTTGGACAGATGTTACAAAAGGACCTCAGGAAAACAGAGGATGAATGTAGGAAGTTGAATGAAAGTGTGATCCATATGAAGTAAGTCTTTTGTGATGGTTATTTTTTCAAATGGTCTTTCCCAAACTCTTTAGTGTTTTGTTTCTAGTGCAACAAATTTTGGCCATAATTGTTTAACTGTTATCAGTATTGTTCAAACTTCTTCTTTGCACACTTAAATTAAAAAGGGCACACCATGAACATCTTAAAGACTAAAGTGTATCCTGTACCAGTTTTGAACAAATAACTGTTTAATCCTGGAAGTTGATAAATAATCTTGGTAAACTGTAATCAGACACATATTCACCCATAGCAAGTTACAGAAACAAGGAGGGAACCTGCTTGTGGTTATGAACAACATACTATGTATTGAACATGTTGATTATTTGTTATAAGAATTTATACAATTAGAACTTTCTTTTGCTCTTTCATCAAATCTAATTTTACATATTTAGCAAAGTTTTAGTGAGTCTAGGGCTTTCTCTGTACTATATAGCCATGATGTCTACAGGTACTTGTGGAATAATTATTAAAGTTCCCCAATAGACCCATGGAGACCCCTATGTTAATGTCTACAAATATGACATCATTATATCTTTGTAATTATGATTATATTCAGGGAGGAAAATGAACAGTTGACACAGAAAACAGAAGAACTGCAAGATATCGTTGACACGTTGAGAGATGAAAAGACAGAACAGGTAAGTAGGCATTTATCTCTGTCTTTTGTTTTTTTTGACGCTTGACAAACTTACCTATTGAATTTGTACTAATTTCAGTTCTGAAGTAAGACATTATGAAGTGGCTTTGTAGTTATATTGTTCTGTTGTAATTCATAACATGAGTCCCATACAATGAGAGTACAATGATACCACACCCATATCAGTATATGTGTTTTATGCATTACTATTTATGTTGTCATTTCTATGGGATGTATACATAAGTTTGTTGTTTATTTCATACAAGTAGAGCCTGAACACATAACCATGTATATAACTGTTACAGGATAAACACTTGGATAAGGAGATACAGTCAAAGACAAAACAAATGTCAAGTCTAGAAGGAAAGCACAAAGACTTGAAAGGAGAGATTACTACAAAGAATAAGCAGATCAGAGAACTGGAAAAAGAGGTAAATATAACAGGTTTATAAGCATTTAAGATAAATATAATCACTGTTCTTGTTGTGCCATACACACTGCCAATATTCAGAGGTTTACATTAAGCGTTAACTTCACCAGATCCACAGATCAGTTTGCTGTCATGGTTTTCGTACAATAACTGGATTTTTGAAGAAACTAGTTTTGTTTTAAGGTTCTTGCTAGTCTTGGCACCTACAGATGTGTTACATGTCTTCAAAATGTTTAACTGCCCATGCCTCTATTTTTCAGCTGCAATTATTCATTTGCAGCACATTTAGTGAATTTACATCCATGTCTTTGGATGTGACTTAAACATGCATTCTTTGGTGTATGCAGTTAAACACCTGTATTCAGTGGTCATGTTATGAAAGAACCTTTTTAGGACTTTGATGCAAAATAGATCCCAAAAATCCATGCAGATTACCAAAGCATGTGTATGAAGTGTAACCTAGCTTATAGTATAGTGCTTAACAGTGATGGTCATTTCTGTGAACACTTGTCATATTTGTTTGTTGTCAAATTTGAAATAGCACGCTCAGCAATATTCCAGCTGTTTGGTGGCTGTCTGAAAATAGCTGAGTCTGGAACAGGCAGTCAGGCGGTGATGCACTCAACTGGGATATGTCATATAACCACTGAACCAGTTCACTAGGTTTGATCAACCAGTTGTTTACTTTCAGATCAAAGGCTTGAAGTCAAAATTAACTTCTCAAGTGAAGAGTACAGAATGCAAATCAAGGGAGTATGATGAACTACAGGAACAAATGGACACATTCAAACTTGAATTTGATGACATGAAATCAAAACTAATGATATCAGATGATGACTTGAAGATGGCAAAGTGGAGGGAAGAACAGGCACTGAAACAGGTACTGAGGAATCTTTCTATGATCATAAAATCTGAAGTGTCCAATGAAACATAGACATGAATGTTTTTTCACAAGGGTCTCAGGTCTTTATAATCTTGTTTGCCACTCATTCTCATTTACATTAGTATTTCACCTTTCTTTGCTGAGAAAAATCAAAAGGGTCCAAATGTAGAGTCCTCTACATTAGTTTTGCTACATAAATTATTTGTTTGTGGTTTGTCTGCTTGAATACAGTTGTAATGAACATGAACTGACGGTCATAACTGTTTCCTGTCCCGGACATTGGCTGTATATTTCAGTCAAATGCGTATAACGAACTACAGTTATAACAAACTTGGTCCGTTGAGTTTTTATAACTGTATTTTACATGTAAATGTCTCAATTTCTAGAGTCAGTAATTTTGTTGAGTCATAGCAAGTGTAACTGTATTCTCCGGGATGTCTTCTGACTTACTCATCATCAGAAATATGCCATGGTATTTCTATTAATATAAAGACCCTGTTTGTTTACAAAACACCTCAAGAAGCATTTATTAAAGGTGGATGAAACAATGTACATGATTATTTATCAGGGTTTGAAATTAGCACTGTTAAATTAAGGTAGCAGTAGCCGAAAGGAACACCGGTATAACAAAACTATTCCTTGTGGCAGTGTTATTGGTTACAAGCAATGAGACATAAGTTATGTTGCTTATTGTAGTTGTGTTAATGGCATCTTATTAGATCTACTGGGTATTATATATGGTTCATTTAGATATACAGTATACTTAATGTTTTGCAGATGGAAGAAATGAAAGTAAAACTAGAGAATGGTTTGATGGAGAAGAAAGACACAGAGGAACGATGTGAATTCCAGCTCTCACAGATGATGGCTACCATGGAAAAGTACAAACAAGAAAATGGCAAGATTGTACAACAGAAGGAAAAAGAGCTGGAACTCTTACGATCTAAATCTGATCAGTTTACATCTTTGAAACAGGTGCTTTGTTCTCCTTTTCTCACTCACACTTGATTGTTTTTTTGATATTCTTGATATATCATGGTATGTATCATAATGGAAATCTTTAATGAATTGATACTTACTGACTATAAGAATCCTGCAACAGAAATGCCTTTCAGTATGGATTATGAAAAAATGAATCAAGATGCTTTGATTGTTTCTCAGATATGTTTGGAATTTATCTATGTTTACTGTGTTCATCTCGTATTATCATTACTGTTATTTGCGGACAATTTCTTGAGGTTAAAATAATTTTTTTACAACAACCAAAATAATGATATTATATCGTGTATTTGATTGTATTATGTCAGATTCATTGTTTTGGCCTCACTGGGAATATGATATTATTTTTTATCCCCCGCAACAACAAAGTTGTGAGGGATATAGAAACGAGTTCCGTCCGTCCGTCTGTGCGTCTGTCACACATTGTCCGAAGCATATCTCCTAAACTATTCATGATAGCTTAACCAAACTTGGTACACATGTCAACCATGATCCCTAGATGTGCCTTTTGGGGGGGTAGACCTAGATTCTAATTTTATTTTTTGCGGTTTCCATGGAAACATGACTTAGGCTGTGACTATGAGGATGTCATCTTGTCTGGAGCAGATCTCCCAAACTACACATGCTAGCTTCATCAAACTTGGTACACATATCAAGCATGATCCCTAGATGTGCTCTTTGGGAGTTAGACCCAGATATGAACTTTATTTTTTTCGGTTTCCATGGAAACGACTTAGGCTGTGACTATGAGGATGTCATCTTGTCCGGAGCAGATCTCCCAAACTATACATGCTTGCTTCATCAAACTTGGTACACATATCAAGCATGATCCCTAGATGTGCCTTTTGGGGGTTAGACCTAGATATGAATTTTATTTTTTGCTGTTTCCAAGGAAACATAACTTAGGCTGTGACTATGAGGATGTCATCTTGTTGCATTTCCATTGCAACAAGTTAGGCTTCAACTGAATTTGGTGGTAGTGCTGCTTTCTGGAGGAGATCTTAAAAACCTTTCAATACTCTCCTTCCACTTTGCTGTATACACTCCAAAACATTTGACATAATCATAACTAGTAGACATATTCATACAGAGTATTTTGCCGTGGCGGGGGATATTGATGACTTTGTCTTCTTGTTTAAACTGGTTTATAAGGCATATTAACTTAAGTTGATTTTAAGCTCACTTTTTAGGCACATATTTCTTGATTGTAAACAAAGTTGCCATTTACCATTTGTTTGAAAGTCCTGGGAGTTACGTCAACGGTCTTGTCATAATTTTGATTATATAACTTTATGTTCTGACACTGCATGTGTGATATTAAGAACAGTTTTAACATCTGACATTTTTGAATAAACTTTTGCTCACACATTGCTCTCTTTAATAAACCTTATTTTTTTTCTCTTATTATTAAGCTTGTGCTCAGGAGCATTTTTGTCTCATTTCTGATATTAAGTGTGTTATTGAGAAGCCTCCCTCTTGAATAACTTCAATTACGTAAGTGGACTCTTTAGATTGCAGTGTCATGAAAAACTGTGCATATCTTAACTTTCATTGCAATAATTACTCAAATAACAATATTTCAGCAAAATGATGACCAGTGTGGAGAGATGAAGAAAGAACTGGAAGAAATGAAAGTAAACTTAAACAAGGAAATATCTGAGAAGGTGACCAAAATATTTTGTGATCTACAAATGAGTCAAAAAGACCATTAATTGATCAAAGAATTAATGCATGTAAACATATCACTTATGACAAAATTATCACTTTTTTAGTTATAATGAGCCTCTGACAATTTTGTTCCATTTACAGAATGAAGTTTTGTCTCAGTTGTCACAACAAAGGAAGAAAACTGAGAACTTGGAAAAGAAATTTGGACAGAAGGTAAGAAAAAGTCCTGACTTGATGGATTAAGTTTTATTCTGTGCTGATAATCCAGAGATATCTATTTGTCCATCTATATAATGCTGATTATTTTGAAAATAGTTATTTTATAAGATCATGATGAATGTAGGCATGACATATGTTCTCTTCCTTCTGACATCAGTTGCTTCACCTTCATTTTTGGTTTGAATGTGCTGACTTATTTGTCTATTATAAGAGTTTGCAACATGCCATAGATGGAAAAGGGACTTATGATTTGTCTCAAATGAAAAAAGCATTCCACTAAAGGTACATTTATTATTGTTACAATATTACATGCTTACATGTACAGATTATTGGTATATGTATTTAGGACCATTATAAAACCTCCATTCTCTTACAGGAGACTAAAATATCTCAGCTACAGGATGAGATAAGGACCATGAAGCAATCAAAACAGAAAAAGCGTACATCAAGTGCTCTTACACAGACAAGTCCAATGTCCTCACCTGTAGCAATTTCAAATCCTCCAGTTGGTATTTGTACCTGTTACTAATTTTCCAAGTTCGGTATAAAAAATGATGACAAATATACATATGGAAATGCATGGTTGCCATAGCAGACATATAGAAACAGGATACTATGTGTTGCAATTTGGTACATGCATGGTAGGCTTCAAAACATATGTTCCATTTTTCATGGCCTCTCCACTTGTCCATGCTCCTAAATTCTCTCCAAATGGATAGCCCTGCACTATTAATACATTATCCACTCAGAATTACAGAACAAATAAAGCTGAACCACAATCTTATATTCACTATCCTTTCATATGGACCATTATCTGTTTTCTTTGGCTGAGATTAAGTTTATAGTCAGATCAGCTAAGATCAGCTATATTTGTTTGTTCTTTAGGCTACAACACCACAAGTGTCAAAGCAGAGACAGCTCTCCCAATAGCCCGCAAACAAGGACACCTCAGAGTGCATTCAAAACTCCACAGAGAAGCATTCTGCGGAATGTGAACTCAGTATCAAAGAGGAGAAAGGTTGCCTTTTCATCACATGATGATTCAGGAAACCACTCAGCATCAGACTCAGATTCTTCGACAGAATTGATGGAGGTTGAGGTATTTGTACTCAAAATTGGTTATCATCACATTGATCATAAGGTCAAATTCCTGTCATAAACATGACTTAATCTGGTAGCTTCTGTCATTCCTATATCTAATAATGCATGACATGAGTTGGTTATGTTGAGGTATGAACAATCCTCCTTTCCTACAATCTCAGTTCTAGACTGATAACCCAAATATTGGATGCCAAATTGTTAAAATGGCCAGCATTCGAAATATCTACCTGCCCGACCGCCCGGGATGGGTTCTTCTAAATTCACCTGCCCGACGGTCGGGTTAAAATTTAGACATGTATATTAGTATTTTTTTTGTGGGCAGGTAAGTTTTGGTTATGACTAGCAAGTGTTACATCAAACCAGCCATGTGGTCTGGCTGAAATGTTTGGGAGTTTCATACCCTGCTATGGCAGAGATATGTGATGCTGACAGTTACAGGTAACTTATTACATCTAATTCAGGTAATGCAATATCATATTTCCTTCCCTCTTGACTTTCTTGGTGTAAATGTTCTGCTATTTCCTAAGCAACTACCTCTTAGAAAAGATTATTGGTAGGCATTTAATTGTTAAAAAGACCCTATCATGCCCCAGCATACACTTTACATTGTTTATTGATGTGTTATGGTGCAGTATTATTGTTACTTGTTTCACTTCAGCTGGAGAATATTGATGTAAGGCAGATGAAAAATGCCAAAACTACACCAGTCTTGATACGCCCCTCACCTAAAGTGAAACCATCTCCAAAGGTAGCAACACCAGATATGAGAATTGAGGCAACACAGAAAACACCTCTTGTTAGAGTCCCTCGGGGTCCACCTGTTAAACTCAAGGAGAAAAGAGAGGTAAAGTTTCCTAAACCACAGCTCCTTTGTCCAGTATCAAACATTAACTAACTGAATTGTTAGTTAAACACAACTGGGCATGTCATCCCATAACATTTGCCTTTTAACTATTTCAAAAAAATACATGGAGCCACAAAGTTCTGCACAGAAGCTTAACTGTGGTGACAGTGAAGAAATGTGTGGAATTAAAACTAAAACTTTACAACATCAAGTCTCATATTTTTTTTAATGAAAATGAAATAGGTTTTGAGTACCATTTATGTTATTCTATACATAGTACATATGTCCAATCATGTAGCTGAACAGATAGAAGAGAAACATAAAGCAGTAAAAAGTACGTATTTTGATAAAGGGTAAAATTGGCAAGTAGTCCTTACGTATTTCATAAATGTTCCTGAGTGGTCCTGTATGAGATGATAACCTGGCCCAAGTTATGCATTTCAAATACAATGTAGTAAGGTGTATGTGCAAAAGGACGAGGGAACAGGTATCACATGCTAAATGCAGGTGTTCTCATTCTTAAGCATTTAGTTGTTGAATATCCTTTTACATATGGTTATTATGAAACATATTGTACTTAATACATGGCAACAGTTAAGAGTGTACTATATATGTCATATGATGATTTCGGTCATACTGCTAACAGCAGTGTTAAAGAACAATTGCCCTCTCGTAACCAAATATATTATCACAGCCTGTCAGATATGTTTAAATTGTTGTTTTTCCATTATTGTAAATCAACCTGGATGAAACTATTCTAATTGCTTATTCTTGTCATTGTTATGTGCTAAGCTGTTTGGGCATGAATTGACAATAATAATGTCAACTCTAACCCAATGACTGTTATTCCAGTAATGATCAATCTTCTTGTGCTCACATGTTGAATCTGCAGCTCCTTGAGGGAGCAACATAGGCTTTTGGCCATTTTGCTATGGACTGGCTTTGGGGGTTGTAAGGTTGGTTTGGGTGTCAAACTAAATGAAAGTAAAAACAAATGAACATTACCATATACTTTACAGGTTTCAAAGTGTGCCATGCACGAAGAAAGGGAGAAATTTAAAGAACTCTTACCAAACCAATATGGAGAACTGATTAGCAGCAGGGAAAATACACAAAAGGTACTATATCTGAACTTATGTAAATCATACAAACAATAAAGAATTTGCTGCCCATGAAAGCTTTCAGGTCTTATTTAAGGCTGTCTACAGGTATGATTTTGTTTTCTTTATGTGACATTTTTAAAGTCTGTCACTCAGATGAAGCAGTACAGGATTACAGCTGAGAATCATTGACAATCATTGTCAATAAATTGTTATAGGTTATCAAAACTCCCACATCAGAAAAAGGAAAATACTCTAAATGCATATCAGAAGACATCTGAAAGAGGATAAATAAATAATGACAGCAGTTATGGACAGTAAGTTCAGACTATATGATGTTGTATAACAATTTTACAAAAGTGTCCTGCTGCTTTCAAAATATTAGTTCAGTAGGCATATTTCTATCTTTCTTAACTTTATGATAAGCCTTGTCCATTGTTGGTAAAAACCCAGTTTGTGATTCCATGTTTCATGTGTATTTATGTCTACCCCATGTTTAATGTGTATAGTTCTACATGTAACCAAATAGTTGTTTGGTTGATATGAATTTAACATATATTAATGATACCAATGAATGTTGGATTTCAGATGAAGGTAGACAAACAACCTACCCATGTCAGACACACTCCTTCCAAGAATACCACAAAGTTTTTCAAAGGATCCCCAAGGGAAAGGTTGTACCAAAAAAACAAGAAGGGTGAAAAAGATGATATAGCCTGGTTTGATTTAGACTCAGTGTTTGGATTTGGTCCTGAAGATTAATTTTTGCATCATTTTTAATTTGGTTGCTTTGTACAGGTTGGCTAAATGCTTGACCCTACCCTCCAACATTGATCATATGATTATATACTTGTGGGATGGTTTGTTTACATCAATAAATAATGTAAAGATGAATCCATTATTATCTTAGTTAAAGTCATGACACACATTTCATGGTTACTTGCAAAACTGTTGTTGTTACTCAATGTGCTTAATGTTTTGTTTGTAATAGAGAGAGATAAAGATTTGGATTCCCCATGTTCATAAATTGATTTACACAATATTTAATGATAATATAAAACAGCTATAATGAGTACTGGTACTTACTATTTCTCTGTCTACAATATTTTTGTGGTTTTGTCCAAACATGAAGACTGTTGTTCATATTTGCATTTGTTGACATCATAAATCATTGTTTATTTTCCCTGCTTTCCAGCTTGTTTTGTCACAAGACAACGTGTCCACTAATGGATACAGTAACAAACTTTGAATTCACAATGCCTTTCAGAAAGTGGTCAAATATAACATAGGTTCTATTTGGGATTACACTTCCTCAGTTACCGGTAAGTACAGATTCTAGTACTTTTCAAGGTTGTTTCCATCTGGGATTCAAAACCACACTCTCAGAGTGAAGCAACAAACAAACTCAGCGATCCAGTGCTGGTGATTAGGTGCCTCAATCCAACATGTACCAGTGTTTGTACTTTACTAAGAAACTGTAGTCCCCAATTTCACATGTTACATTTGACCGCTTTTAAATGGCATTATGTTTCACTCTTTTGGCGATGGGAGCCATGCCAATTTACACTTGACAGAAGGGTACACAAAGTATGTGCTCAAGACTACCAGTTTTCAAATTTCCATGTTTGTGCATGTAATAATTTGGCAAGAACACAGAAGATTTGCATGGATATTGGCCTTTCTAGAATGTGATATAAATGAGAGATGTTTATGGTGCTTCACAGTTTTGCAACTATATTATGTCATATCATTTTAATGTGAGAGAAAACCCCAATGTGATACAGGTGTAACTCAACACATGGGAATATTGAACTCCTTCCAGGTTGTACATGCATCCTTGTGGATGTGTTTAACTTGAATCTACAGTGTTTAATAATATCCCACATAATACTGGATTATCTAGTTCAGAGACTGCATAAGACTATATCTTCTAATCCAGAAGGCCGTAATTTTGATGTAACGATGAAGACAGGTTACCAGATCCTTGCCATGAACACACGATAGTATTCTGTGCTGAAGAATATATTTTTGACAGATATTGATGTCAGTGTATTTCATCTTAGTATTAGCATGTCATCAGCTTGGGAGGAAAGAGATATGTACCACTTTTAATGAAATCAATTGGCCCAGGTATAAGGTGCTGGTAGATTAATTCTTGAGTTTTGCAAGGTCAAGGGATGTAACTCTTTATTGCCTCAGACAGGTCAGACCAACCATGCATCCAGCATATGACCAAGTTACATGGCAGTATATGTCATCATTACCAAAATGTCATTTAAAACACACAAAAATACTTATGTGCTTGAGTGGCAAGATCTGAATGAAAACAAATCCAGTAAGTTTCAAATAGAAAACAATTTTATTTGCAGAAGCTCATGAATAACCCAACAACAAAATCTTGTACATCATAAATTAATGTACCGGCAACCATCTTATTGCACAAACTTTGCGCGATTTCATAACAAATATGTCATATTACTGTACCCCTCCTGCTTGGGAACAGCCTACAAACAGACAGAGGCATATTACCTTGGCAATGTATTATGGTATGTTTTGGATGTTTATTTGTACACAATATCACTCATTATCTCATTATCTTCTTTGGGAGTTCAGAACAGTCTGCTGACTGGTACTCATTGACCCATAGGATTTGGGACGCTTCATTCTTTTTGCTGAAATGGATACATTAGAAGAATTAGTCTGGCATAAAATGTGGAATTAAATCTATAGCATGCACAAAATTTAATGCTTTGACACATCAGTGAAACAGATTAAATTACAATGAAGATTAAAGTTTAAGCTAATGTGTTGGCCACTTTGCTGGATAACTGCAGACCTGTGCCAGTTATATTCGGACACTTGACGTACTTCCATAGACTTACATGTTAATTTAGTGTGGCATTAATAATTTTCATGAATTTAATTTTCGTAAGATCCATGTCAAATTTTGCACATTTTTGTGAGGAATCATCTTACCTACAATCACATACTTTCTGTTTAATTTTCCGTTGCTTTTTTATCGAATGGCAACAATTTAATCAACATATGTACAGTGCTGTGAACTCCTTTAACATGGCGGCCTATGGGAGTGTGCATTGTGGAACCATACGCAAGTTGATAAATGTGATGTCGTTAGTTAAATAGTGCTTGGAAAACTGAACTTAAATTATGTGCGCAGAGCAGAGATGATTTCAAATTTGCCTGTCAAATTTTACAAAGATCCATCCTAAACTCACTTCAAGAAAATTATTTATGCTACACTGAAATAACATGTAAGTCTATGGAAATTATGTCAGGTGTCCGAATATATCTGCCACGGGTCTGTACGACAGGCTTTCTTCAAGCAGTCAGTTCTAAGGCTGGCAAATGTGACGTCAAAGAATGAACATCTGATGTCAGTTCCATCTTAACATGCCGATGTACACTCGCCATGGTGTCAGTGTTGTTTTAAGTAAATTTCAGATAAAAGGAACTGTTTTCATACCTTCAAGGGTGATATCAGTGTAATAATTTTGGACCTTAAATATGGAATAGAAGTCACTGTTTCCACCACACACTGAAATAATCTTTGGACTAGGACAGTTCCTAACAAACTACGCTCAACTTAAAAATGGTAAGTGAAGAGATTTGTTTAATCCTGATAATATTTTTAACGATCATTTTACAAGTCTCCTGTAAACAAGATGATGTGAATAAAAGCCAAGGTGGAGGCTGTTTCCAGATGCACACAAGCCCTGCATATTTTTGACTAACTAAATTTATACATGTGAATTGTACCATATCGGTGAGTTTCTCTTTCACCTTAACAACAGAGATGCCAACCTCTACGATTTTATCGTAGTCGCTACGAATTTTAACCTCAGACTTCACCAATACAATTGCACTAGAAATACTACGAAATTTGAAGAAAGATCATTAAAATTGGGATATATAGACAAAAACATATATTTACATTAATAAAATACTTTTTTGGACTTCATTTACCATCTTCCATTCATCCATTCATCAAATTTAATGATTGACATATTTGAACTGGAGTGAGTGAGTGACAATTTGGGTATGTGAAATTGAAGCTTCACTCTTGATTCATATCACATTATCTTTCTCAGGTTATAGAGTCAGAATCCATCATGATTTTAAGTATTTAGCTGACTACTAATTTTATGGTCAAACTACTAATTTTGATCCTTGAAGCTACTTTTGCAACACTTTGGAGTTGACATCTCTGTAACAATTAGACAGGCTTGGCTATGTAATAGAATGTATGAAGCAAAGTATAAGGGTATGCAGATGAGCACTTACGCACAACAATTGTCCTCTCATTAACTTGTCCAGTTAGTCTGTTGGCAACGTAGAATATCACAGGCAAAGCACATATAACCCCAGTTATGACCAACACTGGTGCAAGATCTCCATTACGATGAGAACAGTTGTAAACTGTACTCCACACCAGTCTTGTGTAGTTCATCTGAAATAATGCCAGTTACAATCCAACTAGAAACCAACTGAACTGAATAATTCCAAGGAGAAATTATGTGCGTTGTTGGTAAGAAACATTATCCATAACTTAAACTTAGTGTTTGTCCATGGAGTGAGTAAAGACTAAATCATTGCTCATAACATTTTTTTACATGACGCATAATTCTTTGATATTTGATTCAACAATTTTGGAAAATGCTCCCAAAATATTTTCACAAAAGTCATAGTTGATGCCATATTTTTTTAAATAAGTGTACGTTGAAGCTAAAAGTTGTTGTAACAACATGTTAAATTATGATAAACAAAATAACAGGTGTATTTCAAAGTTTCATTATATTCAAGTATGCTATGAATGAATAGATTTAGTTACTATGAAATTAAATAAGTTGCTATGCAATGCATCAGATTACTTACAGCAGAGGACATTATCACCCCAAAAAATGCTTTAGTTAGCATTAATAATGGAATTATATCATTGACAAAATATTTTCATGACTCGTAAAATTAGAAAATAACTAAAAAATACATTTACTGTGAGTCACCATGACTCCCATTTTTGAAAGTAGCTGTAAAATCCCTGTCATAATAAAATTCACAGGTTTGTCTAATCAAGAAAGCATACAAACCACTGTTGTATAGCTGGAATATTGCAAAATGCATTGTCAAAAAGTCACTGAGTGTAACTCACCGTATCCACAACATCCATACAGATTTCTGATGAAGTATCCTGCATCATTGCTGTGAATTTGTCATTGAGAGACTTGTATTGTGTTCGACATTTGAAACAGACGGACGAATTGCCATGGTTCATCCCCTCAGGATCGATATCCTGTTGACATAAATTAGATTTCAATCATGCCATTGAAAAAAATCATTTACATGCGGTCTTGATTGATATAATGTTGCACAAATGACCACAGTAGATAATCTATTCGAATAGTCGGTGAAGATTATAATGAGATGTGAAAGCAAGAACAAAAGGTACCAGAGAACCAGAGGCACAGGAGACTCACCTTCATGGATACTTTATGCAAATACAGAAGCACACCCAATCTCAGTACAATCATATGAGTTCTCACATAATCTCAACAAACATCTGACGACATACCAGAATGTTTTGTCAGAATGACCTTCATCTGACCAATGAAAGTGATTGATATTTTTTCTAATCAGGCAACCTCAAAAAGATTGAGGGCAATTTTGACAATCTTTTGCATCAAAGCCGGAAACATTTGAAATAGCCTGTGGGATGTATTATGATACAATATCGGCCCTCTGTTAGATATTTAGAGAATTTGTTGTGTATTTTGAAGCAATAGTTTCTTTAATGGAAGTCACCATTTGAAACTAGTGCTGTAGAGTTTGAAAAAAGTGACATCAGATTGGCTAAAGTCAACTTCTTGTAAGTCATTTCACTGGTCCCTTACTTTGCAAAAGACTGTTTTGATGTGACCCGTAATGGGATGTCATAAGATCTTATGAATACATAATGTCATGTAGAAAGTGGACAAATGTAACATATGTTATATTTGGGATTACACTTTCTTAGTAAAGTACAGATTCCAGTACTTTTGTTGGGTTAAGTCTCATCCAGGATTCAAACCCACACCCTCAGAGCCAGCACACCTAAGATCTTAGTTTAACACTAGTGAGGACTAAGATAAGATTTTAATGAAATGAGAAAGACAACACATTAATTTGAGTGTATGTCATCAGATGTAAATTTTCAATCCATGGACACATTGGTGAATCATGACACCCTAGTAATAGTAGTCGTAATATATATCGTCATTATCATCATGATCATACCACAGTTTCACAAGATGCTGATGTGCATCCAGTATGCACAAATATATAGGATGGAAACATATAGTAATGAGCAGAAAGTATGTGACAAAAAACTTTATTCTGTAGACTCAATCCTACTATCAAAAAAGCCGAAATACATTGTTTCTAGCCGCCAGTAGCTTGCCTCATTGGTATGGAATTATCTCCTTTGGGTTCAGGGATGGCTTGATCACGTGACCTCGTTGCTAGCAGACGATACCGAAGCTTTGCCATGACGTTACAAAACAACAGAAATTGACTCTTGGCATATTATGAAGGAGGTATTACATCTGTAACTAGACTTGTGAAACTGACGGGACTGCATCGGGCCTCTGTTTACTGAAATTTGAAGAAATTTGATGCAGGGTTAGGGACAGAGCAACAGGCTGGATCAGTATGTCGTGCTACTCTTAGGGCAAATGACAGACGACGTATCGGCGTCAAGCGGCGGCATCTAAACTGGTCTGCAAAACAGCTTGCCGTGAAGGCGTCAAGTCAAGGAACCCCTAAGGTATCAGAATGGACAATCAGATGATCTTTAAAGCAATCTGGATATGTCAAGCGAGTGCCAAAGAAAGTTCCATTGATGACAACAGCACATATGGAGAAAAGGCTCGAGTGGTGCAGGGAAATGCAGGGTACAGACTTTTCAAATGTGATTTTTACGGATCTAATCAAAGTTTCAGTTTTATAGGATCACAAGAAAGAGGTGGTCAAGAGGTGGACGTAGCTGCAAAATGGTTCCGAAGTTCTCACCCAGTGTCATGGTTTGGAGTGGTATAGGCAAACTCAGGGTAACGCCGCTGCTAACTATTACAGGAAGGATGGATTCACGCAAGTACTGTCAACTTATACAAGAAGGCATAGTGGAATCCCATATAGGACAGAGTGGAATACCTTTCAAACTTTTAGAGGACAATGCACCTGTACACAAGTCAAGATACACCTGTAACTGGTTTGAAATGAGTCACGTGACCTTACAGAAATTTCCAGCGGCATCACCAGACCTGAACCCAATTGAAAATGTGTGGCAGATTATGAAGGACAAATTAGAAAAGTTGGAACCGAAGAGTGTCGTTGAGTGGTCTAATCTCATCAGTGAAATATGGGTGGGCCTACAGGACTACATAGACAATTTGATTGACAGCATGGGACGCCGTATTCAGCAGTGAATTGACAGAGACGGTGGACTAACAGACTATTGACTTGCATAAATGTAAACTTCAGTATCCAGAGTGGATGTATGAAAAATATAACTGAATTTACCAGTAAATAAATTTTGAAACTATGTCTGTGAAAAGTCGCATTTTTTCTGCTCGTTACTGTATTTTGTGTCCTGAGGGATGCAGAATACGATTCATTGTACCAAATTCTTGACAAGATATAAAAGGTACCTGAAACTTAATTTTTTAAATAGTAAATTAACAGTTCGTTGCGCAACACCATGTCATTATTTCACGAGACCCTCACTCTTCCTAGAAGGACCCTTGAAATCACTAATTGGGATCGACTGGACCCCTAGTTTCGTTGGTCAAGATGAACCCTTTCATGCAAAAGTGTCTTTACTGTAAAATGGAAAATACAGACATATATGGAGGATATTATATGAGTGCACTTGTCATACTATACTGTAAGCCATTAAAAACGCAATTTGACATTCATACTTTCTTTACTCACACTAATTTCAACATATATAAACCTAACTGGCAGATATGTTTTAAGTGAACATCTGTGAATAATTTCATCTGAAAATGTCCAGTCAACAACAACATCAGTGACGCAACAAGACATCAAACAAAGGAGGGGTCACTTGCAGTCAATATCGTGTGTGTCCACCGTGCGCTGCAAGACATGCTCGCAGTGTTTGGGGCATTGAAAGACACACATTTCTCAGGAACAGCTGTTGGATGGTCTGCAGCCTCTGATGGTCTGTGGTCTGATCATGACACCACCCCCTCCAAAACGATCATGTTCAAGGACACAGTTTGGCGCAAGTCTTTCTTCTTTACGGCGATAAATCTGTTGACGTCCATCTGCAAAGGATAAGTTAAACCTTGATTCATCTGAAAAAATGACATCTGGCCATGTCCTGTTGCCAAGATTGGCCCCATTTGCTGCCCATCGCTGTCTGGCAAGTCTGTGGCGATGCAATAAGGTTGGACCACGGTACGGGTGATGACACCGGATGTTGAAGGCAGCAAGGCGTCCTTGCATCTTTTGGGCGCTGAAATGACGTTGACTCGTCCCAATTGTCCTCCTTGCCTAATCATCAGCTGTTTGGAACTGATTTCACAAGTGTGAAACTCGGATATTGCGGTTTTGTCGAGCTGTTATCACAGGTGGTGCACCAGGTTGCGGACGATCAGCAACACTTCCGGTAGCCCGAAAACGTTGTCTGAGTCAACTTACAGTATATAGACGCACATTAAAGTGCCTGGCAATCATCACATCTGAAGCACCGTGGCTGACCATACCGATAACCTGATTCCTTTCGTCTTGTGTTAAAGTGTGGCATTTTCTCAAAGTGATTGAGTTCCACAATTCCTTGTGCTTTTACAGGGCCTGGGTGCAGGTAATGCATGTGCACAACGTGTTTCATGAATGTGGTTGTGTTTACGAGAAATGTCAAAGGTTCAGTTTTAAGTATCAAAGTTCATGTGAGAGGAATGCTCCGGGACTCGAACTCGAACTCGAACTCGAAATGGGCCAGAGTAACAGCCTTTTATCCCTACATCCTCTGTATTGCAGGAAAAAATCTTCAGTAGAACTTTTGTAAGTTTCAGGACAACAAATACCAATTGCGTTTTTAATGGCTTATAGTATATGTTTACGACACGAGTGCCTAAATGTTGGTATTTCCCGAGTGAGAGTGAGGGATATACCAATATTAATACCACTAGGGTATGTTATGTCAATTGTTCTGGCAGGTTGATTTTCTGTGAATCAACCTTCTATCTGCACGTGCAGAGGTTGATATGTGGATAACAACCTTGGCACTGCAGGAAACACACGTGCAACAAGCAATGTACGAGTCCATTCGGCGCCCACGTGGTATAAGTAGGTTAGCACCCCCCCTCTCCGGGTGATATGGATTCAACTCTCTCGCCTGACGGCTCGAGCGTTGAAATCCATATCACCCTTGAGGAGGGTGCTAATGTATACTTAGGCATGAGTGTCATAAACATAGTGTGATATGGACACGAATATATAATATTCTGTTTATTACCGAAGTCGTCAAATTGAGGAAAATAAACCTAAATCTACTTTCAAACATAGGCTGGCTACCCCCCGTTGCCGCATGTAGAAAGTAACGTCACAGAAGAAACGTGACGTCATGGCATTGTTCATGATGTCACGTCACCATGACAAAGTGATATTTTGCCTAGGGCATCGTATGAAAAATATAAACCTCGATATGTTCGCCCTCCTAGGTAATAATAGACATTATCGTCCTTACCTGCATTGTGTTGTTCATACAGTGTGTCATGTTGGTGAACAGATGAAAGAACTCCACAGTGCTTACTGAAAGAGTTGAGTTGACTGTGGCATTCTGACTCTCTTCAGTTATGCTGGCAAAACATTCTGAAATGATTTAATGTTTATGTTTATGATGAATAGGCAAAACAAATGTTAGGCAACACAGTATTTGTCAAAATGCCAGTTGGGTTTAAATAAATATTTTGAGGGTTATCACGCTTATGGAACTTTTAAATTCAAAAGCTATATACAGTCTAAGTAAACTTAGGCTCAGTATTATTCGTTACACTGCTATACTGAGTCTAACAAAATCTTGTGGAAGGTCGCGTCAGGTAACCTTTGAGCGACCTATGACCGTCCAATCAAACGCGAACGGATTTAACCAATCAGACAACGGCTACTATTTAGGGTTCGGCGGGACTTACAAAATGGATTTCCTCTTCCCTGGTCACCAACACTGATGTCACAACAAATGAAAACCCACATAAAACACAGACATATGACCTGCAGAATATACGCTTTTGGGTTTCTGTTGACATGGTTATCATTAGCTAATATTTCCGCAAGCTGACACCCTTGAATACTGACAAAACGCTATTTTCTGCGACTGTTTACTCACTGTTGTGGCGTGCTCCTTGTGCATCACTCGGAAGCGATCGTACGGAAAATAGCATTCGGAATCGTTCAGCTACAAAACGTTTTTGAGGTAAAAGTTCAAAAGGTATGTGGGAATGTCAACTTTCGCGATTTGGTAAGCTGTGTTCTGTTTGGTCAATTGAAAAGGTTACCTGACGCGACCTTCCATAAGGTTTTGTTAGACTCAGTATAGCAGTGTAACGAATAATACTGAGCCTAAGTTTACTTAGACTGAAACTATATATTGCTTTGAATCACCTTTGATATATTTACCGGGTAATAATTTATTGCAGATTGAACCGTATTTTAGTACATATCATAGGTGTAAAATGCTATGAGCAACAGAAAACTTTACAAATTGGGCTTAAAACTCATTCATTCACTTAACCATGTTAACATGCTTCATCAAATACAAAGTGATAAAATCCAGGTTAGAATTAGTCTTCAGCAATCCCTGCTTGGCATAAGAGGCAACAATCAGGATCGGGTGGTCATATCAGGCTTGCTGACATGGTTGATGTGTGTCATATACCGATAACATTGATCGATGCTCATAGCATCAATCACTAGATCACCAGGTCCAGACTTGATTATTTACAGACAGCCATCGTATGTACCTGGGAAATTGCTGAGTGTGGCGTTAAACAACAAATGAATAGATCATGTCATACATGCAAACAATTAGAAAAACACCTACGTTGACAATAGGCTTTAGCCCAGATGTCATTCATGTTCTGATACACCAGAGTGAGCACCTGCACTCGATCGGCCATCAGCAACTCCTTCACACAGTTTCCATCCGTTGTCTAAACACAGTAAAGAAAAGATATATTAATGTTAACAACTCATACCAGAGACCATATAATACATATTATGGTCTCTGCTCATACACATAGCATACATCTTTGATGTAGAAGGCATTACTCAACATGTTCAAAATTCAAAGGTAAGGTACTCTTTTGATTGCCTAAGTAATATCATGAAGGCCCCAGATATCAATGTCATAATGCATTGTTTCTTTCTGAATTGAGTTGTCTTTCTTGATATTGTCCTTCAATATGATCCGGATATATCAACACTCACTAATTAGATAGAAAACTTCATCAAGAACCAGAGTACTGCTGGTTTTATCTAATTCTGTTGATATATTTAATATAGATACTTTGTGATATGAGACCAAATTTGGGGGTTGAACACTGCGTTAAAGATTACTTCACTTATATACCGACAAATGGGTTTTAGCCCATTGAGATGCTAATATTTTACCTGGATACCCCATCAGATGCCCATTTGAACACAGCATACCAGTTCTTGTATTGCATAACAAGTACCATTTTACAAAGCTTTTGTTGATTCAAAGTACATGCCCCATCCCCCTACAATAGATCCCAGCAAGTACAAATCATGTGCTATTTTCCTACACAACGATGTCATAATAGTTTGTTATTACTTACCAAATCTTTGTAGACTGTTGATGCCTGCTCGAAGGGGGTGACACAAGTTTCACAAAATCGAAATGGTCTTGCATTTTTAACCAGACATTTAGTGAAAAGAGAGGATTCTGTGGCAAATATGTCCAGGAAAGCTCTACATGTCTTCACTATATCACTGGAGTTACTTACATCTTCAGTTGGGAACAGTTCGCTTACTACACCAATAGGGTTTACGAGATTCCTTAATGAGTCTGATAATTCCGATTGATCTAGAGTCTCTGACCAATGCAATTGGTCACACAGCAATATTACTGTTACAAGGAATATGTGAGTCTTCATTGTTAAGAGATACTTTTTCAACGAACAGTCGTACGTACGACTACGAATACTACCACTCGTTCGAAGGCATCGTACAGCCAACCGTATAACCCAAATTTATACGAATGGGATGGAAATTATCGAGAAGATGTCGCTGGTCATGTGATGATACTTCTTTTGTATCCTTCCTGGTTTCACAAGTTCACTCTGCAGCAGCCATCATTGTAATCATCACACAGTCGCTAAACACAGCTCCATGTTATATTAATGACATTCATTACAGAGCATCAACTGTTAGAATATCGTTTACCAACAGACTCACATCCACAAGCACTGGCTATAGTCAGCTGATAGTAGCTGCCAGTCAAACCCCATAACATAAACACGGAAGTTGGCGTCACGTGCCTAGAATAAGCTCCGCACCGAGTTACTTTGTAACGCACGCTGTCAGAGAGTATGATATGCACATAACTTAACGTTTCAATTTTGGTGGAACGGTTCTCAACGCACGCTTGGGATGGTTTTGGGTAAAAAAATCAGATGTCCGTGTTACAATGCAAATGTATTTTCAAACAATGACTCTATATTTTTAGTATTTTTGAATCATTCGCATTTTAATCTTTCATTTCATTTTTCAATCAGCAATGCATTTACATAAATAGTTTTTATATTCAAAATATGCAACTATTACCTTCTCTCTCAACTCCGTTACGTAAGGTAATATTAACTCTAATAAATGTCTAGGATCACTAAAGCTAAAACCCATACTGCTCTGAGACAATACAAAGTGTCTCCACATGTCTCAGGCGGTGGCGGTAGCCTAGTCTGTCGTACAGACCCTGAAGCAAATATATCCAAGAAAGCCCACGCAAGCCTAGAAAATGTGGCAAGTCTAGATTAAGTCTCAGGGCTCCTTTTCATTATATTTAATTTTTTTACTATGAACTTTTTTTCTGTAAAATATGTTCATTTCAGAGACTAGTTGTTAAAGTTTTTTGAATTTATGTTGAATAAACTTTGTGTCTGTTATAATTTTTTAAGACATGTTTTCTCATATGTTAAAGTAACCTCAACACTTGGAAATATTTGCTGACTTTATGAACCTTTCATTATGTGATGAACGTTTTGCACTGGGAGCATCGTCAGTGAAGAGACAAAGACTGAGTTTAGTTTTACGCCGCTTTTAGCAATATTCCAGCAATATCACGACAGGGGACACCAGAAATGGGCTTAACACATAGTGCCCATGTGGGGAATCGAACCCGGGTCTTCGGCGTGACGAGCCAACGCTTTAACCACTAGGCTACCCCACCGCCCCGAAGAGACAAAGAAATAGTGACCTGTCCATATGATAATGAACTGATAGGGGCATGGCAGATGCACATAAATACATTAACTGCGTTCCTTTATACATTCTTATTGGTGGCAACAGACAAAATGTCACTACATTTGACGTAAAATATAAAGTTTTAGAAGATACATGCATTTGAGACATCTGGAGTGAGTGAGTATTGGTTTACGACGCATTTGGCAATATTCCAAGAATATTACGGCGGGGGACACCAGATAAAGGCTTCACCCATTGTGCTCTTTTGGGGAATCGAACCCGGGTCCCGCGTGAAGAATGACGAGCGAGCTTTAACCCCTAAGCTACCCCACCGCCCCTGGTCAGTTGAAATGTCCCGTAGTCTTAATCATTAGTACCATCATGGATTGTCGTCATAAAATACGCATTTCCTGTATTTCACTCTAATTGATCCAATGTCCTACCCATAGAGAACCTTTTGCCTTTAATGGTTTATTTGCCTTTTTACATGAAGAACTCAATAATTCGCCGAAGAAGAGCCGTTCTTGTGTATGTGTACTGAGTAGGAGCAAGAGTGAGTGAGTGAGTTTATTTTTACGCCGCTTTTTGCAATATTCCAGCAACATTACCACGGGGGACACCGGAAATGGGCTTCACACATTCTACCCATGTGGGGAATCGAACCCGGGTCTTCGGCGTGACGACCGAACGCTTTAACCACTGGGCTCCCCCATGGCCCCTATATATACTCACAAGCAAAGAGATTCAGATGACTCCATCCCTCTTCCAGAATACTGCAACCAACAAAAGGCACATCTTGGTACTGAGATTTATTTTGCGCAAAATCTGAACGTGCACAGCACCACGTTTGGCACCAATCGAAAGGCTGTAGATTTTCAAGGTCCCCTGACGGGATTCGAACCAAGACATCTTGTATCTGAGGCCAGATGCCTTGTCTACACGACTAATGAGGTTAACGCCGTCAGCAAGCTGATAAGGTGACAAATGTATCACTGGGATGGCCCCACGCCCTGGCCAACTACCCGTGAAACCCAAGACTTATAACTGGTTTGTCCGCCTCTGGATGTGATGCATGAGCGACTCTGTTGTGATGCGCAGGAATGTTTGCCGTCGTAAATTCATCTTCGTAGTTGTGTTGGTGAGTGGGAAGCAGAGGATCTCTGGGATTCAGGATACAATCACCTGAGCTCTCAAGGATACGCATACAGCACAGATTACATCATTCCGGTTTAGAACAGACATCAGGGCTGCCTTCAACATGAGATCAGCCATAGCCGTGATATTTTTGTGCTTATGCTTAAATTCAGTGGCTTCAGGTGAGTCAACAAACGTTTTAAGAACATGGCCGCGTGTAGTTAACTTTTAGCTTGATGCAGGAATACCTGGCTTCAGTTATCCGGCGCTTTACCTCGGTTATCCAGCCACGTAGGGTTTTACATGTTTTATTAGTAAATATCGACATAACGTGACAGATAAGGACAACTTTATGGATGAACAACTTTTTTATTCAATAGAATAAAGAATGAATAAAGAAGTTGTCTATCCGTAAATATTGTCCTTATCAGACTCTCCAACTTCTAAATATGCCACTCAAAGAAGACATAACGTGTGTGTACCGTGAATTAAGACAGCTTTTTGATTTTAGGTCATGGGGTGGAGACCAAACAGAGCTGTACCTCCAATGCCTCGATTACATTTAATCTCACATGCTCGGAACGGGACATGCTGCATTTCATCGATTTAAACATCCGGAATATGACCGCCAATTGCGGACAAGGTTCTTGTAAGTCAGGGTTCGCCAGTTCTAAAGACGTCGACTGTATGGGAGTGTCATCGTGCCAGAAGACTGTCAACAAGACAATGATAGAGCGAGTTTGTGGGACCGTCGAGAAATATCAACCAACGATATCATATGAATGTGTAGATGGTAGGTATCGTCTGCTGTTTGTGGAGTCATCTGCCTGTTTGTGATGTCGTCCGCGTGTTTGTGGTGTCGTCTGCTTGTTTGTGGTGTCGCATGCTGGTTTGTGGTGTCGTCTGCTTGTTTGTGGTGTCGTATGCTTGTGTGTGGAGTCGTCTGCGTGTCTGTCGTGTCGTATCGTCTGCGTGTGTGCTTCAACAAAGGGTTCAGTTTTCTGTTTTGTATTTTGCTACACAAAGCTTCACTTGTCAAACATAATCATAACTTCACATTGTATATGGCTTCACAGGATGCAGCGTATTAGCAATCTGTATCCTGATGAATGTCTGCCACAGAACGCCGCTTGTTGTTTTCCTGTGTGCCTCACAGAACGCCGCTTGTTGTTTTCCTGTGTGTCTCACAGAACGCCGCTTGTTGTTTTCCTGTGTGCTCACAGAACGCCGCTTGTTGTTTTCCTGTGTGTCTCACAGAACGCCGCTTGTTGTTTTCCTGTGTGTCTCACAGAACGCCGCTTGTTGTTTTCCTGTGTGCCTCACAGAACGCCGCTTGTTGTTTTCCTGTGTGCCTCACAGAACGCCGCTTGTTGTTTTCCTGTGTGCCTCACAGAACGCCGCTTGTTGTTTTCCTGTGTGCCTCACAGAACGCCGCTTGTTGTTTTCCTGTGTGTCTCACAGAACGCCGCTTGTTGTTTTCCTGTGTGCCTCACAGAACGCCGCTTGTTGTTTTGTGTCCACAGAACGTGTTGTCCTGTGTGTCACAGAACGCCGCTTGTTGTTTTCCTGTGTGTCTCACAGAACGCCGCTTGTTGTTTTCCTGTGTGCCTCACAGAACGCCGCTTGTTGTTTTCCTGTGTGCCTCACAGAACGCCGCTTGTTGTTTTCCTGTGTGTCTCACAGAACGCCGCTTGTTGTTTTCCTGTGTGTCTCACAGAACGCCGCTTGTTGTTTTCCTGTCACAGAACGCCGCTGTTGTTTTCCTCACAGAACGCCGCTTGTTGTTTTCCTGTGTGTCTCACAGAACGCCGCTTGTTGTTTTCCTGTGTGTCTCACAGAACGCCGCTTGTTGTTTTCTGTGTGTCTCACAGAACGCCGCTTGTTGTTTTCCTGTGTGTGCCTCACAGAACGCCGCTTGTTGTTTTCCTGTGTGTCTCACAGAACGCCGCTTGTTGTTTTCCTGTGTGTCTCACAGAACGCCGCTTGTTGTTTTCCTGTGTGCCTCACAGAACGCCGCTTGTTGTTTTCCTGTGTGTCTCACAGAACGCCGCTTGTTGTTTTCCTGTGTCTCACAGAACGCCGCTTTGTTTCCTCACAGAACAGCCGCTTGTTGTTTTCCTGTGTGCCTCACAGAACGCCGCTTGTTGTTTTCCTGTGTGCCTCACAGAACGCCGCTTGTTGTTTTCCTGTGTGTCTCACAGAACGCCAGCTTGTTGTTTTCCTGTGTGTCTCGCTTGTTGTTATTCTGTGTCTCACAGAACGCCGCTTGTTGTTTTCCTGTGTGTCTCACAGAACGCCGCTTGTTGTTTTCCTGTGTGCCTCACAGAAAGCCGCTTGTTGTTATTCTGTGTGTCTCACAGAACGCCGCTTGTTGTTTTCCTGTGTGTGTCTCACAGAACGCCGCTTGTTGTTATTCTGTGTGTCTCACAGAACGCCGCTTGTTGTTTTCCTGTGTGCCTCACAGAACGCCGCTTGTTGTTTTCCTGTGTGTCTCTCCGCAGAACGCCGCTTGTTGTTTTCCTGTGTGTCTCACAGAACGCCGCTTGTTGTTTTCCTGTGTGCCTCACAGAACGCCGCTTGTTGTTTTCCTGTGTGTGTCTCACAGAACGCCGCTCCTGTGTGTCTCACAGAACGCCGCTTGTTGTTTTCCTGTGTGCCTCACAGAAAGCCGCTTGTTGTCTCACAGAAAGCCGCTTCCTGTGTGCCTCACAGAACGCCGCTTGTTGTTTTCCTGTGTGTTTCCCTGTGTGTCCGCTTGTTGTTTTCCTGTGTGTCTCACAGAACGCCGCTTGTTGTTTTCCTGTGTGTCTCACAGAACGCCGCTTGTTGTTTTCCTGTGTGTCTCACAGAACGCCGCTTGTTGTTTTCCTGTGTGCCTCACAGAACGCCGCTTGTTGTTTTCCTGTGTGTCTCACAGAACGCCGCTTGTTGTTTTCCTGTGTGCCTCACAGAACGCCGCTTGTTGTTATTCTGTGTGTCTCACAGAACGCCGCTTGTTGTTTTCCTGTGTGTCTCACAGAACGCCGCTGGTTGTTTTCCTGTGTGTCTCACAGAAGGCCGCTTGTTGTTTTCCTGTATGCCTCACTGAACGCCGCTTGTTGTTTTCCCGTGTGTCGCAAGACCTTGAACAGGGGCGCGGATACATGAGCATTTGTAATCAGTCCCTGAACCACATTATTGTCCCTTCCACTAAGCCTAGTCTGCTGTGCGAATAATCTAAATGAAGCAAGTCTAGATTGACCCAACGTTCTGATACTACCGTCTCATCTCACTTGATATGGAAGTATGTTTTTATTCTATTATACATATTTAGAGACAAAACGTTGGTCCTGAACATTATCTATCTGTGTCAGGTTGAACCCTGACACCATTGGTAGCAGTTCCAGACTCCAGAAGAGGTTGGGGTGCTGCAGTTGGAAACTGTGGTTTACACGAGCATTCCTCCACGTTGTTCTTTGTCCTAGGTCCTATGCTATTTCAATTGCTCATAGATAGGTAGGACTGGATAGTCATGCTCATCTCGGGTGACTGGGCTGTGACGCTCGTCACACTTCAGTGACCTGGCCGATGACTGAGGACATCCGACCATTGGGTGTGAGGTGATGTGAGGTGAACTTGGGTTTAACGTCGCGCTGGAGAATATTTCGCTCATATGACGACGTGCATGCGTGTGTATGTGTAGGTGCGGCTGCTTGTACTAGCCCAGACTTAAGCTGGTTTTATAGTGCTAGCCCACTGAGATACCATGCCGCAGTGAAGCATGAATACCCCACTCAGACACATTATACTGACTCCGAGCCGACCAGTCCTTGTTGTACTGACCAGGCCAGGCAGGGACCAACAAGTACCATATTTTAACGTCTTTTGGTATGATGCGGTCGGGGATCGAACCCGCGACCTTCCGCTCTCCGGGCGGACGCTCTAACCACTACACCACGGAGGCGGTCTCATTGGGTGTGAACTCACTGGATCGGGTGGTCAGGCTCGCTGACTTGGTTGACACATGTCATCGGTTCCCAGTTGCGCAGATCATTTTGAACATTTTGTGACGGAGATGATTTGTTTGTTTGATTGTTGTTTAATGCCGCATCCAGCAATATTCCAGCTACATGCCGGCGGTCTGTAAATAATAAGTAGACTGGTAGAAAAGAAAAGGATTCGAGTACCTGTACCTCAAATGGAGTGTGTATGGTTTTAAGCCGCTTTTAGCAATATTCCAGCAACATCACGGCGGGGGACACCAGAAATGGGCTTCACACAGTTTACCCATGTGGAGAATCGAACAAGGGTTTTCGGTGTGATAAGCGAACACTTTAACCACATGGCTACCCCACTGCCCCTCAAATGAATGAGATAAATTCTGATTCAAAGGAAATCTTTGTCATGAGCAAATGTTAATAAATTACCATCCCGATTCAAGTACCTAATTTCTTCGATAATAATCCTACAATGGTCTATCTCCTGAGAATCATCTCAGCCAGTGCGCGCACGTGTTCATAAGCTCACAAATGGGCTCTGAAAATGCATTTTGCAGAAATTACTGGCAGAATTAATTTTGCCGCAGAAATTTCTGGCAGATTTTTTTTTACCGCAGAAATTTCTGGCAGAATTTTTTACCGCAGAAATTTCTGGCAGAAATTTTTATTTCACTACCAGAATTATCTTAATTGAAAAATATTAGACACCATTTTAGGATAATTCAATATGGACTTTATTTAAATGATGTTACTTTCTCCTGTAAACAACTTCAAGTTGGAGGGATAATGGTTCCCAGAAGTAGATCGCCGCACAAATCTTACAAGGCATATTTTAACATCTTATCAAGACGAAATGAAAATAAAAATAATATGGTGATTTTTTATACATCTTTTATTCACGTTCTGTATAACATGAGTTTCACTGGACGAAGTTACAGTCATTTCATGTTAGACATGAGCCCTGTTGCCAAATGTTTCAGAGATAGATCCTCTCGGAGAAATATGTGTCCTATATATATATATAAATATTTGTCAGGGTTGAGATTGCGATCTGATCGGAGATTCTACCAGTAGAGACTTCGCAGTCTTTACCAGTATCCTACTAGTAGAGATTGAAATCGGATCCTACCTGTCAGATCCGATTCTACCAGTACAATTTCCAATTCAACTGGTAGAAACCCTGATTGTTCTGTAGGCAAACAACACTTTATTTGCTGAACAATAATATTCATTTGTTATGCATGTTATTTTAATATGTGAAAAATGTAAAGAAATTCAAAATAATTCCATATCAATGTATCTCACTTTAATACAAATTGCATTAATTGATAATGTCCTAATCATGACCATTTTGTTGATACAAACTATGGTTTCACATATGAAAAATCATATGTAGGATCAGAATGGAGCTTCCAGTGTTAGAGATTGCAATTGCATAGGTTATTCTATATAATAAGTTTCTACCAGTACAGACTCCGCTTGCAATCTCTACCCTGGCATATATATCATCTCTCTATATATACATTGTATATAGTTTAGGTGAATTAATTCATGTATTCAAATCATTGAACGCTTATTATTAGCATATATTCTGAACAACATGAAAAACCCTCAGTCTTTTTCCTATAAATATAAATGCATTCAATATGTTTGGACACATACTAGATACATAATAACAATATTTGATCATTTACATATTCCTAGAAATGCCTCCATCAACACGCTCAACATGACCAGTGTACCGAACTGAGATGTTAAACAATACCTAAGCGACAATGTATCACTGTTCAAAGTGACAATACCCGAGAAAATCTAATTGTTTTCACACCTGATAATTTGTTGTTTATGGGGCTGTCCCTACAAGCGGCCACCGTCCCGGTTCGGTTGTCCCTGGTGGCCACAGCAATTAACGATTGCGTAATCCAGAGAGCGGTCACTCAAGGGAAAACACCAAAACAATGTCGGGTGGTGCCGCATGGACAATACACGTCTTTTGGGTTCTATCCAGTAGGTTTTATCGGTTCAGTTAAACACCAGATGATGATATTTTGTTGATTGTAGGAAGACATTAACAGAGAACTTTGTAATGAAACATACATTGGGTCCGCACAATTAAATTTCACAAGATATAACTTTATAAATATTCTCTTTCATGTATTCAAAATACTTTTTTTCTAAACGATGCATAGTTTGATAGTTTATGCATGTATATTGTGGTATTACACAAATATGATATTAAGCAGCATGCGCAAACATATTTAAGTCATATGTCTGCACCCCAAGTACTTACAATGTCGTATCGGAAATATTCATTGTCCCGCAGCAACAACAGGTGTGCATTGTCTGCCGATTTCAAATAACAATATCAACCGGCATACCATGCAGATTTTATGTGGTACAGGAAAAGGTAGGCAACGGCTCAGTGTCCAAGCAAACATATGTTGCTGGGTAATCTACGATAAGGGTTACTATAATTCATTGCAAATGACAAAACTCTATTAGAGGGGTAATCATAATTATCAAAGGAGCAGGTGCCCACTCTTTTGCACAGATCAGACTTTACAGGGAATAAGTAAAACAACATGTAGGCGTGCATCAAAGGGATTAACAGCAACAACTATAGGATAGGGTAATAAAGCAGTGACAACAGGGGGAAGTCAAATGTCCAAGAGGTAGAAAATATACATGGGTGGAATGCTCCCCTAAGCTGTTGCTATCAGTTCATTGTATGCAGATGGGATGAGATATCCTTCATCTCTGTTGATGGAGGGCTTGTGTCCGCGGATTTGAACTGCTTAATCCATGTTGATGTATATATAAGTCTGCTACAGCACCTCAGTCTCGCTTGACAACGGTATAATAATCTATACTGAAACGCCGCATCCTATATAATATAGACGTTGTCATCCATGAAGCGAAAATGTGTTGAAGGAATGATATGAATGTAAGTCAGTAACGTGAGGCTCTAAAATCATATGGTGGTGTGCAAATCATATGCGTTTAATTCGTGATTGGTATATTTTCTCATGATATTATTGTATGAATAATCGTTTCCTTTCACACTCGTATTACAACACAAATCATAAAATAGATAAGATCTATATATTATGATCTCGGTAGCAACAGCATGGAGCGTGTTGTTCAGTGACAAAACAATGTGAAAATTCATCGAGGAGATACTTTGTCCTTAACCACCTCAGCATATATACTATACTTCACGGCAATGACGATTTATCTCCTTTAGACAATGAAAACCTTATAAAATCCGTTCAGAATTATATAACTGAAACTAACCGCTTTACGGAATTCAAGTAACAACCTATAAACATAAAATGCACTTGGTGTCTTGTTCTTTATTTTCTTTTCTTTATTTTCTTTTGTTTTGATTCATTCATTAATGTCCTAATGTCTGCTCCATAGAATTAAGTCAAGATAATAACGAACTATATGCGGAGAAGCATTGACATAGGCCATATGGCCTGTTTGCTAATCCTATTTTCATTTTGTTATGTCGTGTATTATGAAAAATGTAAACATTAATGGAAATTTAAAAAAATACTGTTTAAATCACAATACTGTATAAATCTCGAACAACCTCTGCGTTTTGCAGGTATATATCGTAGCTCTTTCCAAACGTATTCATCAAGTTTCATTCACCATTTTATCCAAGAAAATTTTGATACCTTTTCGATAGAACGTAGACATTATAGTTTGTTGGACCACTGACTTCAAAATACTGACTTTATGCATTTCATTTGTGCAATGGTACATTATGTTTAGCACTATCTATGTGCACAAACCAGCCGTTTCAACACATTACCTGAAGAGATATTTTCATAAGCAAGTTTTGCTCTTTTACTGATCCAATGTATAGGTTGTTTATTGCAACGGCAGTGTTAGGGTAAACAAGAGATGTGGATGAATGAATCATTAGGACTGGTATATTTTCAAACAATTTAACACGATATTTTGTAGGAATCCTGGGTGACTAACATCATTTCAAAAAATCAGTGGTGACTCGACATTCACAATTGTCTCTAATTTCCCAGGAATGCGACAGCAAAATTTCTAATAAAAGCATACGGTCTTTTTGATAGCAACTTCTTGTTAATTGCATAGAGCAACGTTTCTGTGTAGGTTCTCACACCATGTTCAAGCTAACGGTGACAAAAACCAAGTGATTAGAATGATCGAATGCTGTGACAAACATCGTGTACTTGAATAACAAGGGGTAGATAATTGGACGAGGCCAGGTGGGAAGTAAGAACAATAAATAGCACAGCCATGAAGCCGATAAGCAGGACGGATTAAGTTGTAAAAACAGTCATAAAAAACGGGTGCTGATTGAAGTCTATAGCTTGGTCAGCTCTTCGTAGGCTATGGTATGTAGTACCCTTCGTCAGTCACTACATTCACAGCGCTCGTCACACGTTGCTTTATGCAAAGAACAAGAAGTTGCTATTAAGAAGCCGCATGCTAGAATGCCAATGAAACATACAATCATAATTGCTGTTCATGACGTTGTTGTATAATTTGTATATATATATACAACCTACTTTATCTGACCTCGTACACCTGAAACATAGTGTATCGAATAGGTCCAACACAGAACTGAACCAAAACATCTAATGTCATGATGATATGAATTGCTTAAATTCCTCAAACCGGTCTTTGAGGTAATAACAGAAGTGTATATAGTTTTAGTTTCCTGATCATGAATCAGTTATTGTCATTCTGATGCAAATACCCCAAACCCAACAAGATCAGATCCAGATCAGTTGATCACACTGATTGCTAATTACCTAGAATAAACAAGAAGTGGCCCACACGCAGGTGTCTCATAAATTATCTGATACAGGTGAAAGGACGGTCAAATACACACTCTCCCAAATAATTAGCCATTACGAGTATTTACTTCTGGGAACCATTTCCTCCCACTTGAAGTTGTTTACAGGAGAAAACAACATCATTTGAAGAAAGTCCATATTGAATTATCCATAGATGGTGTCTAATCATTTTCAATTAAGACATTTCTGCAGAAATGCATTTTCAGAGCCCATTTGTGAGCTTATGAACACGTGAGCGCACTGGCACATGAACTTTTGGGTTCATCTCCTCGAGATCTTTCCAATGATATAAATTATGTCTTTGTAGCTCGCTTCCTTCTGTGTGTCAAGTTAGGACTCGCTGGCCATTCCTAAGTTGTCCCACCCGGCCTTAATATTATTCTCAGTCACTCTGGGGGCGGTGGGGTAGCCTAATGGTTAAAGCGTTGGCTCGTCACGCCGAAGACCCGGGTTCGATTCCCCACATGGGTACAATGTGTGAAGCCCATTTCTGGTGTCCCCCGCCGTGATGTTGCTGGAATATTGCTAAAAGCGGCGTAAAACCAAACTCAGTCAGTCAGTCTCAGTCACTCTGGAAGATGCGGGTTAGAATTGGTCTTCAGCAACCCATGGTTGTTGTATCTAACGGGATCGGGTGGTCGGACTCGCTGACTTGGTTGACACATGTCATCGTGTCCCGATTCCGTGGATCGATGCTCATGATGCTGATCACTGGATTGTCTGGTCCAGACTCGATTAGGGACCGTTCATAATGTATGGATGGGGTGTGTGTGTGTGTGTGTTTGGTGATGATTTTTTTTATGGAGAAGCATGTACAATGTGAATGAGCCCCCCTTACATTTATGTACAAAATAAGTGCCCCCCCTCTGCATATCATGTACAAAATCAATGCCCCCCCCTCCCCTCCCCATAATTGCTAAGCATGATTTTGAACATATTTCTATGTACAAAATTGCTGACCCCTACTAGTACGTGTGTACAAAATTGATCATCATCATCACCCCATAATAGCCATAAGTTATGAACAGTCCCTTATTTACAGATCGCCGCCATATACCTGGAATATTTTGCAAACCAACCAACCCCGGCTGAGGCAGATTCTCTGCTAAAATTGCGCTGGCGAAATCGAACCTGGCCAAAAGGCTTTACTTCGTTTTTCAATCACACTGCTTTGTGTTCCAGAGACACCGGTGGATATCTGTAGCACAGCTGGGGCTGTATCTGATGACGAGATGACGCTGTTTCTTGCATCACCAAACTACCCAGGCAACTCGAATGCTTCAGATACAAACAGGACCTGCACGTGTGACCTTGCAGGGTCAGGCATGTCGGTAGAGATCCTCGTGGGCTACTATGGATGGGGTGATGGCAAAATGGACAAATTCAACTTGACATCAGGTTCAGAGACATACACACCGACGATTGCTAACTCTACTATCGGACATCTGATAATAGGTCCGAAACCTATGGAAAACAAGAATGAAATAACCTTGAATTATAATGCCATTCAGAAGGAGGGGAGGGATGGCGATTATCTTTGGCTCAGAGTTAAAGGTAAGGAGTGTAGATACACGTATGTTGTTTGTGGTATTGAGTGAGTTTCGTTTTACGCCGCTTTTAGCAATATTCCAGCAATATCACGGAAGGGGACACAGGAAATGGGCTTCACAGATTTTACCCATGTAGGGAATCGAACCCGGTTCTCCGGCGTGACAAGCAAACGGTTTAACCACTAGGCTACCCGACTGTCCCCTTGGTTGTAGAGTGACTGAGTGAATTTAGTTTGAGCCGCTTTTAGCAATATTCACACCGGGGACACCAGAAATGGGCTCCACACTGTGTAACCATGTGGGGAATCGAACCTGGTTCTTCGGCGTGACGAGCGAACGCTTTTACCACTGGGCTACCCCACCGCCCCTTTGGTTGTAGAATCAATTACTCTATATGAATACGTTGAACACCAAAAGACCGAAGATCCGGATATGAATTGATCTTCAGCAAAAGGCGACTAAGGGGATCGGGAGCTCAGGCCCGTTGACTTGGTTGACACATGTCATCGTATCCCAGTTGCGTAGATCGATGCTCATGATGTTGATCACTGAATTGTCTGGTCCAGACTCGATTATGTACTGAACAAACAAACATAACATGGTAGCGGCGCTTGATTTCGTGTAGAGAGCACATGCCACAAATCCGCCTGGTTCCTGGGTCTGTTGCGACTGCGCTACGCTCCGACACTGTCGGGGCGTAGCGCAGGCGCAACAGACCAGGGAATCAGGCTGGCCACAAATCGGGGAGTTAATCGCCTTTGGGTGCGGTGGTTAGTGGGAAGGCTGACCTTCGTGACTCATGATCAGTAGTCTGATGCACAGGGGTTCGAATCACTGTTTGGACAATAATTTTAAAAAAATAGAAATCTTTTTGCAATCGTTCATTGTTTTATATGTTATGATTAACGTATATTTCAAATTTGAACGAGATTTGAAATATAGGTTAATCATAACATGTAAAACAGTATACGATTGCAAAAAGTCTAGATTTTTATTTAAAAAAATTATTTTCCCCTGTGGTTTGATGCGTGATCGCGTTTGATCACTCCGGCGCAGTGATGACTAGGTACTGCCACAGAATATTTTACATATCTTGTTACCGAACATTCCTTTATTTGTAAACTTTCGCGCTTATTCTGATACCGAAAGAGGCTGACTTGCATATTATACATTTTAATAATTACTGTGTAATTATTGCATTTAGCCGAATCAGCATTTTCTTTGGTTTTGTCGTGTCAACATGAGCGACAAATGATTCTTTTGAAACAGTAAGACAGTATTACCGTACATTTCAGTACATGGAATAAGGCCCGTCCGACCGCCCGAGACGGGTTAGATTCAGACGGACGGTCTAGATGAAGAGCTAGCCAGCCCGATGGTCTGGTAAAAAATAGATGTTACATACATCTAAGTCATATCTTAGTGTCTGGTCTGGTCAAATGCATTTTGGACTGGCAACATTTTGTAGTTTCCAGCCCTGATGTCTGGCTGGAGTTTGGGCTTTTCATACACTGATTATTACCACACTTTTTATTCAAGGTACCTCCTACCTGACCGTGGCCTGCAACGGGGCAGCACCACCCTCAACACCCGAACCTGGTCTCACCACCCAGGCCACAGAAGGAGCATCCCAACTTGGAGGTAAGTACACGTTCCAAGATGGTCACGGTGCAAAATATTGCACACGACGCTTCTTAATTGGTGGCCTTTGTATTACATAGCATATAGAAAACTCGATGGATCGTTGAACATTGCTTAAAGTGAGTGAATAAGGTTTTACGCCGCTTTTAGCAATGTTTCAGCAATATAAGGGCTGGCGATACCCAAGATTGGCTTCACACATGGTACTCATGTGGGTATGGAACCCCAGCTTTAATCCCTAGACTACCTCACCGTCCCAGTAGACCGTCCGAGCAGACCGTCCCAGTAGACCGTCCCAGTAGACCGTCCCCGAAGATGACATCAGTTAGTTTTAAGCGGGGAGGTGGGGGTAGTCTAGTGGTTAAAGCGTTCGCTCGTCACGCCGAAGACCTGGGTTCGATTCCCCATATGGGTACAATGTGTGAAGCCCCTTTCTGGTGTCCCCGCCGTGATATTGCAGGAATATTGCTAAAAGCGGCGTAAATCCTTACTTACTCACTCACTCAATTCTAAGCGGTTCATGTAGGTGGTGTTATGGGTTATTGTATGCTTCATCTTCATTATGTTTGAAATTTATGAAATTACTTTAAACATTTTCAATTCTTTTTGTCGCACAGAAAGCCAGTTCATTAAAACACGCGTTTCAAGTACCAAAGTCTAAACTGTATGTGAATGACGCCTGTGTACGCCTGTGTTACTTTCTTAAGACGCGTGTGTGTCTCTTCCTCCAGGTATCCCGATGCTGACAGTGGCAAGCATCTGCGCTGCTGTAGGCTTCGCCATCTAACATAATCTAGACGCGACAAGGATGAGATGATGGCAACTTGAGAATATATGGACGTGAATGTTGAAGAAAGCAATGGGTACATCTCCTGACGAATATCAGGTGGTCTGTAATAACGTAAACTGCCTTTATACCGAACGAAAGGATATATAAAGCTGTATATCAATCGGGAGCAACATTTCAGGATTATGCGACGTCCAATGACATATCAGCACGGGGATGATTGACTGAAAGAACGAAAGAATGAAAAGCAGTACCCTTGAAAATAAGATCGACTGGCCCAAAGTCAAAAGACCAACAGCTACTTCAAAGACTTCAAAGTAAAAACCATCGAAGTAGCTTTCTACATCAAAAGACTCCAATCATCAACCAACCGTGACCAAAGCTATTACATACACCCATCTTACCATCAGCTGATCAAAGATTCTCATCAGTCGGAATCCTTTTGTTTATACTATAGGTTTCACATACACCTAGCTTACCATCTGCTGATCAAAGATTCTCATCAGTCGGAATCCTTTTGTTTATACTATTACATACACCCATCTTACCATCAGCTGATCAAAGATTCTCATCAGTCGGAATCCTTTTGTTTATACTATAGGCTTCACATACACCTATCTTACCATCAGCTGATCAAAGATTCTCATCAGTCGGAATCCTTTTGTTTATACTATAGACTTCACATACACCTAGCTTACCATCAGCTGATCAAAGATTCTCATCAGTCGGAATCCTTTTGTTTATACTATAGACTTCACATACACCCATCTTACCATCAGCTGATCAAAGATTCTCATCAGTCGGAATCCTTTTGTTTATACTATAGGCTTCACATACACCTAGCTTACCATCAGCTGATCAAAGATTCTCATCAGTCGGAATCCTTTTGTTTATACTACAGACTTCACATACACCCAGCTTACCATCAGCTGATCAAAGATTCTCATCAGTCGGAATCCTTTTGCTTATGCTACAGACTTCACATACACCCAGCTTACCATCAGCTGATCAAAGATTCTCATCAGTCGGAATCCTTTTGCTTATGCTACAGACTTCACATACACCCAGCTTACCATCAGCTGATCAAAGATTCTCATCAGTCGGAATCCTTTTGCTTATGCTACAGACTTCATATACACCTTGCTTACCACCAGATAATCAAAGATTCTCATCAGTCGGAATCCTTTTGTGATTCTCATCAGTCGGAATCCTTTTGCTTATGCTACAGACTTCATATACAACCAGCTTACCACCGACTCCGCAAGAACCTTGTTTATACTACAGACTTATATATATATCTCAGTCTTTATTCTGCTCCTTGATAACAGTGTTAGAACCTACACCGAAACGTCGCTCTCACTGTAATGTAGAAGTTGTTTATACATATATTGTGTTCCTTCCCTGCCACATTCTATTTCCTGCAATTCATTGCTTTCTAAGTTGCTTGTAAATAGGGTCTAAAGCTCTTTGTGCAATAAAAATATGTACTTACTGTGATATTGTTGTCGGTGTGAATAATGAATTTTAACATGAAGGGCAATTTGAAAGAATAATACCAAAATAATAATAATGTATGGAATCGAACCAGGGTCGATACGAGCTATGCATTAACCACTGGACAACTTCTTATATTGCACCCATGTAAGGAATCGAACCAGGGTCGATACGAGCTAACATATTACCACTGGACCACTTCTTATATTGGACCACTACCAATGTAGGGAATCGAACCAGGGTCGATACGAGCTAACGCATTAACCACTGGACCACTTCTTATATTGCATCCATGTAGGGAATCGAACCAGGGTCGATACGAGCTAACATATTACCACTGGACCACTTCTTATATTGTACCCATGTAGGGAATCGAACCAGGGTCGATACGAGCTAACGCATTAACCACTGGACCACTTCGTATATATATTGTACCAATGTAGGGAATCGAACCAGGGTCGATACGAGCTAACGCATTAACCACTGGACCACTTCTTATATTGTACCCATGTAGGAATCGAACCAGGGTCGATACGAGCTAACGCATTAACCACTGGACCACTTCTTATATTGTACCCATGTAGGGAATCGAACCAGGGTCGATACGAGCTAACGCATTAACCACTGGACCACTTCTTATATTGCATCCATGTAGGGAATCGAACCAGGGTCGATACGACCTAACGCATTAACCACTGGACCACTTCTTATATTGCACCCATGTAGGGAATCGAACCAGGGTCGATACGAGCTACGCATTACCACTGGACCACTTCTTATATTGCACCCATGTAGGGAATCGAACCAGGGTCGATACGAGCTACGCATTAACCACTGGACCACTTCTTATATTGCACTCCATGTAGGGTATCGAACCAGGGTCGATACGACCTAACGCATTACCACTGGACCACTTCTTATATTGCACCCATGTAGGGTATCGAACCAGGGTCGATACGAGCTAACGCATTAACCACTGGACCACTTCTTATATTGTACCCATGTAGGGAATCGAACCAGGGTCGATACGAGCTAACGCATTAACCACTGGACCACTTCTTATATATATTGTACCCATGTAGGGAATCGAACCAGGGTCGATACGAGCTAACGCATTAACCACTGGACCACTTCTTATATTGCACCCATGTAGGGAATCGAACCAGGGTCGATACGACCTAACGCATTAACCACTGGACCACTTCTTATATTGCACCCATGTAGGGAATCGAACCAGGGTCGATACGAGCTACGCATTACCACTGGACCACTTCTTATATTGCACCCATGTAGGGAATCGAACCAGGGTCGATACGAACTAACGCATTAACCACTGGACCACTTCTTATATTGCACCCATGTAGGGAATCGAACCAGGGTCGATACGAACTAACGCATTACCCACTGGACCACTTCTTTATATTGCACCCATGTAGGGAATCGAACCAGGGTCGATACGAGCTAACGCATTAACCACTGGACCACTTCTTATATTGCACCCATGTAGGGAATCGAACCAGGGTCGATACGAGCTAACGCATTAACCACTGGACCACTTCTTATATTGCACCCATGTAGGGAATCGAACCAGGGTCGATACGACCTAACGCATTAACCACTGGACCACTTCTTATATTGCACCCATGTAGGGTATCGAACCAGGGTCGATACGAGCTAACGCATTACCACTGGACCACTTCTTATATTGCACCCATGTAGGGAATCGAACCAGGGTCGATACGAGCTACGCATTACCACTGGACCACTTCTTATATTGTACCCATGTAGGGATCGAACCAGGGTCGATACGAGCTAACGCATTAACCACTGGACCACTTCTTATATTGCACCCATGTAGGGTATCGAACCAGGGTCGATACGAGCTAACGCATTAACCACTGGACCACTTCTTATATTGTACCCATGTAGGGAATCGAACCAGGGTCGATACGAGCTACGCATTACCACTGGACCACTTCTTATATTGTACCCATGTAGGGAATCGAACCAGGGTCGATACGAGCTAACGCATTAACCACTGGACCACTTCTTATATTGCACCCATGTAGGGAATCGAACCAGGGTCGATACGAGCTAACGCATTAACCACTGGACCACTTCTTATATTGCACCCATGTAGGGAATCGAACCAGGGTCGATACGAGCTAACGCATTAACCACTGGACCACTTCTTATATTGCACCCATGTAGGGAATCGAACCAGGGTCGATACGAGCTAACGCATTACCACTGGACCACTTCTTATATTGCACCCATGTAGGGAATCGAACCAGGGTCGATACGAGCTAACGCATTAACCACTGGACCACTTCTTATATTGGGTTTTAATGTCAGGAATCGACCAGGATCGATACGACCTAACGTTAACCACTGGACCACTTCTTATATTGACGCTGTAGGGAATCGAACAGGGTCGATTAACAGTTACCACTGGACCACTTCTTATATTGTACTGATGTAGGGGAATCGAACCAGGGTCGATACGAGCTACGCATTAACCACTGGACCACTTCTTATATTGAACCCATGTAGGAATAACGTCGCGCTGGAGAATACGATCCTGCTCATATAACGACTGGACCACTTCTTCGATATTGCACCCATATAGGGAATCTTGTACTAGGTCGATACGAGCTAACGCACTAACCACTGGACCACTTCTTATATTGCACCCATGTAGGGAATCGAACCAGGGTCGATACGAGCTAACGCATTACCACTGGACCACTTCTTATATTGCACCCATGTAGGGTAATCGAACCAGGGTCGATACGAGCTACGCATTACCACTGGACCACTTCTTATATTGTACCCATGTAGGGAATCGAACCAGGGTCGATACGAGCTAACGCATTACCACTGGACCACTTCTTATATATATTGCACCCATGTAGGGAATCGAACCAGGGTCGATACGAAGCTAACGCATTAACCACTGGACCACTTCTTATATTGCACCCATGTAGGGAATCGAACCAGGGTCGATACGAGCTAACGCATTACCACTGGACCACTTCTTATATTGCACCCATGTAGGGAATCGAACCAGGGTCGATACGAGCTAACGCATTACCACTGGACCACTTCTTATATTGCACCCATGTAGGGAATCGAACCAGGGTCGATACGAGCTAACGCATTAACTGAGGTGAGGTGAAATTGGGTTTAACGTCGTGTCTGGATAGTCATGCTCATCTTGGGTGACTGGGCTGTGACGCTCGTCACACTTCAGTGACCTGGCCGATGACTGAGGACATCCGACCATTGGGTGTGAGGTGAGGTGAGATGAGGTGAACTTGGGTTTAACGTCGTGCTTGAGAATATTTCGCTCATATGACGACGTGCATGCGTCGGTATGTGTATGTGCGACTGCTTGTACTAGCCCAGACTTAAACTGGTTTTATAATGCTAGCCCACTGAGATACCATGACGCAGTGAAGCATGAATACCCCACTCAGACACATTATACTGACTCCGAGCCGACCAGTCCTTGTTGCACCCAGCGCCAGGCAGGGACCAACAAGTACCACATTTTAACGTCTTTTGGTATGACGCGTTCGGGGATCGAACCCGCGACCCTCAGCTCTCCGGGCGGACGCTCTAAACACTACACCACGGAGGCGGTCTAACGCATTAACTACCATCCTCGATAATCTCCAGGGTATACGTTACGATCAGTCTCCACTCTTGAGAGTGATTGTAACGTATACCCTGAAGATTATCGAGGATGATTAACTACTG